CTCAGCTGGGACCTTTCTTTCTTCCCAAGCTATATTAAACATGCAAGTAAGCCATTTAACACCCACTTCTCCGCAGGCTTGGATCCCTTCTGTATTAATTCCATCCAGACCTGGTGCCTTGTTTCTAGGGCTGTTCTGTATAACTGCTCTTACTTCCGCTGCTATGAAATTTGGTTCCTCTTGTTCGCAGCTTTGAGGTACAAAGTTAACATTATCTACGTTGCCTGTGGGGTTTTGAAGTTCTTGAAAATACTCTGCCCATCTTGCCAACCTCTGTTGTGGACTAAATAGAGGTATACCTCTCTTGTTGTTGATGATAGTTGTTGGGTTGTAGCTTATGTCTCTTTCTTTCATGATTTTTAAATGTTTATAGAATTCTCTAGGGGAGTTCTTGCTGAGAGTAGCCATCTGTTGACGATAATTTCTCCAAGACTCGTCTTTAAATGTTTTAATTTTGCGTTTTGTTTCTCTTCTTACTAATCTGTAATGAACATAATCTTGATGTGATTTTGATTTTATCCATTTTTTATATGCCTCCTTCATTCTGGTAACATCTAACTTTTCCAAAAAAAGTTATGATAAAAAAGAGGAAAATATAACAGAAATAAACTGAAGAAAACTAATCTTTCAAAATAAGTAGTAATAAAAGCAGCACGGTAAAACAGAGATACAATGATTATAACATATTCCACTTACTACTTACTATATAAGTAGTAGTAAATAAAAAATGAAAATACCACAAAAGATAACCTAAAAGGAAAAAAAAAATTGTTTCCTTCTAAATAAGGTGGTAATAAAAACACGAAAAAAAAAAAAAAAGCTGAGATAACCTGCCGATAACATCGAACTTTTGAAAACAAGTTGCTAAAACACACACAAAAAATGCAACAGAGATAACCTTCAGAAAACAACTAACAGTTCAAAATAACTGTAAAAAAAAAGACAGTAACAGATATAGCAGAGATAACCTGAAGATAACAATTATAATTTTTTTTTTTTAATAAACAGTTTTAAAAAATACAAAGGCAAAGCATGAAGGTAGCCAGGTAAGGATAGAGAAAACAAAATGACTGTTCTATGTACCAGGATGAATGCCAACAGAGGTCAGAATATCAGTTTTAGAATGTAGGTTGATGTCGATGTGACGAAATGATTGTGAAACATGGGCACTGGATACCTAATTTAGAAAGAAATAATCTTTTCTGGATGTTGCTGCTTTGTAGAATGCTAAGAAAGCATAGCTAGAGAATCGATACTCTGCTAATGTAGTAGGCGAACTCACAAAGACACGCGATTCCCCCACTTCAGGACACGACAACAATCAGTGGTCACTTTATTAGATGAAATAGTCTGGTCAACATTGTAAAAGGCGAGAATTTGTCGTGTCTTTGAGAGAGAGACCTTGATAGAGAGAGAGAGAGAGAGAGAGAGAGAGAGAGAGAGAAAAGATGGAGATAGAGATAGATAGAGATAGAGAGAGAGAGAGAGAGAGAGAGAGAGAGAGAGAGAGAGAGAGAGAGAGAGAGAGAGAGAGAGAGAGAGAGAGAGAGAGAGAGAGGAGAGATAGATTTAGGCAGACTGAGATACTGTTCCTGGGTACATTACCAGACTTGAATAAAAATGGACCAACAAAAGAACGTTACAAGAACACCAACGAACAAACGAACGAGTTTTATTTTAAAATATTTAATAACTGGGTCATTGAGTCTGCTTGTCATTCAATCCCTCTTTGTTTCAACAATAATAATAATTTTGTAAGTATAAGTGTTACAAATTGAAAAAAAAAAAAAAAAACGGCCACAATCTGGGCCTATTGTATATTATCTGGCTTTCGTTCATTAAGATGACTGTAAATTAAAATTAACGTTTATATACACACAGAATGAAAATATTTGAGTTGTGAGATATTTTAATGACAAGTAATGCACCACTAGGAACGGAGCGAAGCATGACAAAGCTAATACCAAGGCGTCGGGGGGTAATGCTTCTTGCTTCGCTTATATCCCACTACTGGATGAGTGAATATTTACTGTTTGTCAACTTGCCTACATGTTAGTATATCAAAGACAAGCTTCTATGGCAGACACTCGTGTATGAATATATCCTAATGCCCGCAAAGTGACGCGTTATATTACAAATTCCGCTCAGAAACCTAGGACTGGTAATGGCTACCTCAGACGATGTCATGTCGTCACAGCGTTTTGTTCTAACGTCGAAGGTACTCGGCTGGCTCCAGCAGAGAATCCCACTGCTGGAGCCCGAAAAGGAAGAATCCGAAGCCGAGACAAGTAGCACGACCTCATCACGGAGACCACCTATGCCAGACCCGCTGGCCAATCCTCGTCTATTTGTAAGTAATGTCATGAAAGACAAATGACGTCATTGAATGTATTATTGACCTATAGTGACGACATTTCTCTTCCCAGAGAGTACACTATTCCTGGGATTTGTTTGACGCTGCTGACAATGAAATTTAAGTAAAGGACGCTTTCGCAAGCCTTTAGTTGTACTGGGCATATAGGGTTAGACCTATTTGTTAAAGACCAATCGGTATTCAATGAGTGATGTGGTCTACATTACACAGTCTGTCTTTACTTTCCAGATCTCTATCTGTACCCATTTCAGGCTAAGTCGACCCGAAAACCTCCCCCAAGTCCCGAACCTACGACCTTTGGATACGCAGGCGAGCGTCTAGACACTACACCACGACTGGGTCCTTCTGTTGACAGTGAGACACCTCTAATCTGAAATACTACAACAAGCTAAGCTTATTTTCAGCCAATGTGCATGTGCTCTGCTGAATTATGAGTTGCTTGCCACTTAGTATGTCTTTCAGTAGATGTGAAGTTCCAATGCGGTACATCTCAACGCCTTCTGCGTTTTGAAAGAGGTTAGCCAGCTCTGCAATATAGAGATGAAACCCTAGTAGTCATCACCATCGTTCATTACCACCTCGTGTCGCTGGTTCACCATGTTGCTTTTGACTAACTGGTCGGCTCCCTCTACTCCTAAGGGACAGACGCTATTAATTTCATGGCTGCATACCTAAGGCCTGGTCAGTCAATTAAGTTCTATATCCAGGTCTTTGTTGGTCTGCCTCGTCTCCTCTTTCCCTTTACTAATCACTGTAGTATTAATTCTAAGAGGCTGTTAGATCTTACTTTATGTTTGCCAGTACCATTGCATTTCACGTGTTTTCACTTTCTGAAAAAACTTGGTCTTTCGCCAGTTTTTCTGCTACGTGCACTTTCCTACCAAGGTGTAACTTATATTCAGTGCCCATCTTAGTACTGGTCGGTCACTGCCCCTATTTTTTAGTACCATACCTCTACTATTAAATATACTTTTTAATCGTCTGTTTGATATGACCAACACAATTCAGCTTCCGAGAGAAGATGCTCTTTACTAGCTAATCTTCTTTGATGTTAAGATCTTTCAGTATGTGAGTATATTTCTTGTCCTCTTGGCCTATGACATTCTGAGAATCATTGTTTAGAATTTCAACTTAAAAGCCCATATTTTCTTCCATAATGACTACGAGACAGTCCACGAATCACATCCGTATGTTGCCACAGGGAAGATGCGCGCTCTTAAGATTGTGGCTCTGATTTCCTCGCTTGTCCTTTCATAGACTTTTAAGGCTGTTTAACATTTGCATTGCTATAGCCATCCTTCTTTTGACTTCTGTTGAACAATCACCATTGCAGTTTATAATGGAGCCTACATACTCACAGTTTGTGACATTTTAAATTTCGTTATTTATTGTTATTTTGTGTAACAGGTAGTTTTGTCTGTGGATATTAATTTTGCCCTCTTTAAATTATGGAACAGATTTTGATCCTCACTGTATTTTTGGACATACATGAGTAAGCGTTCTATTCCCTTTACACTGAGGCATGTAGCATAGAAAAGTTCCAGAACAGGGTTGTCAATAATTATGATAAGATCATAGCTATCAAAAGTCTGATCATGTTATATGGTACAGTCTAAGCCATCAGATGTTTTTAATGTAAAGCACAATAATGGCGGCTAATTACATCAAAAGCGCCGACACCTGTGGGCTCAGGACCTTTGATCCCCTCTCCCCTCCTCCGCACCCAATGCCCCTCCCACCACTCACATTTGTGAGGTCGCAAATTTGTCCTCTTTGAATAAACAACAGACGGCCCACAATTAAACTGTAAAACGAATGTGCACGTTACCATCATGTTCTGGAACAGAACCAACATTCAGAAGTGGGCGAACAACACAAACTATTCACCAGAGTTAGCAATCGGTTAAGGCTAGGGAGAAGAATACTACAAGAATAAATCCATAGTCCAATAAGGCAGGTCTCATAAATACAGACGCATGAGACAAACATGAAAACAATGTCCGCTGTTAAAACATTTTAATTTTACATTTGTTTATTTATATTGCCTCTCTGACAGCTCAGTGACACACATGCGTTTATTTGTGTTGTGTTGTGTTCAACACTTTTTAAGGAAAATACATGGAACTGTGGAAAGAGCAAATTAACAGTAAACATCCACAATTCCCTATCAGCAGACTCAACAGAAAGCATCATACAACAATATTCCGTCTACGAGCAGGACATTCTGGGCTCAACTACCAGACTCAACTATGCATAAAGATTGTTCAGTCCCCCCAGCGTTCCTAACAAACAGGACCACAAACACCTAAGCACATTCTGCAGAGCTGCCCACTCCACCTTTAACTTCGAGAAGAGACCTGGCCTGTAGGGCAAATTGTGCAGAGCAGGCTATAAGGAACCATAAAGGATCTACTGCTGACAAGCGAGTTCATAGAGGCAACCCACCTGATGGTCTGATATGATCATACAAAACCGAACGCAAAGAAGAAGAAGATGTGCCTTTATTTGAAATTAACACTGACTGCAATATCCATCAGCTGATGTGTAGATACATATTGGGTCAACATTGTGAAGCTGTTGTTATGTAGTCGCTGAGACAGTTCACGTATATGTACATATCTTTCAGCCTCGCAAGTCTTACTTTGTAAAGCGACGTAAACAAGGCCAGTGCTATAGTATGATGAAGGAAGCAGAGTGCCAGAAACGGTAAGTTTTACAGCAAAGGCTGACACAGAGAGACTCACACCTACATGCAATCATACATACATACATATTCATACATACATACATACATACACACATACACACACACACACATACACACAAACATACACACATACACACATACATACAGACAGACAGACAGACAGACAGACAGACAGACAGACAGACAGACAGACAGACACACAGACACACAGACACACACACAGACACACAGACACACACAGACACAGACAGACAGACAGACAGACAGACAGACAGACAGACAGACAGACAGACAGACAGACAGACAGACAGACAGACAGACAGACAGACACACACAGACACACACACAGACACACACACAGACACACACACAGACACACAGACACACAGACACACTGACACACTGACACACTGACACACTGACACACAGACACACAGACACACAGACACACAGACACACACACACACACACACAGACACACAGACACACACACACACAGACATACACAGACACACAGACACACACACACATACGTACATACGTACATACGTACATACGTACATATGTACATACGTACATACGTACATGCATACATATACTTATTTATGTACGTACTTACACACATATCTTCACACATACATACGTGCAGATCGACTATTGAATTACAGAAAACAATGGATTTGTCATATTTGGGGCAGGAGTTTTGATCCTGATTTAGAGCCTTTTTCTAAATACCATATGCATCATAGCAACAACAACAACAACAACAACAAAATGGCTAAGACCTGTTCACATTACGGAGCCGCCATGGTCTAGCGGCTAGACACTCTGCTGCGGATTGGGAGGTCGTGGGTTTGGTTCTTGACAGGGCCGGATATTCTTCAAAAATGACCTTGGCTTCTAGGTCGACCCAGCCGTAAATGGGTACCAGGTAGTCATAGGAAGTAAAGGATGCCTATCAAGGGTCGTTAGGTCTATGAAATATATATCTAGCCCTATATACCCAATACCCCTGAAAGGCGTGGAAAAGGGTCATTTACTTTTACTTTGCGCTCACATTAAAGGGAATAAGACACCAAGTCTTCTGATAGCTATATCTCCGGGCATCATGTAACCAGTCTGTCCATGTAGGTTCCAGGGGGAATGAACCCTCTGCTTTTCTTACATGCATGATATAGGAGGCGACCAAGCAGGGTGTTTCCCCCTGAACTCTGAGTGCATCTGTCTGGGAGGCGAGGAACCAACTGTCTGGATACAAGTAAACCACATCTATAAAGCGGATGTGTATGCAAAGCTCAAGTTCTAGGACAAAAACAAAGACCAGCAGTGATGAACAACAAGAACAATCCGCTAAAGTTTACAGACGCTGAAGGCTGAGAAGAAGACAGAGATGTGAACTTTCTAAGTGCTTGTTCGTCGTCAGGGTTTCTGTTAGTTAGTTAGTCGACAGATTATCCTAATTGCACGTCGAACCACTTGGTCTATAAGTGTTCTGATTTCCTCCTCGGTTAATGCCGCAGCGTGTAGCCCCTGATGACACCAGTTCTGTGGTGGTTTATTGTTCTTCTTTGGCTACCCGCGTAGTGTTCTTGTTTGGCGACATCCCGTTTAACTTGCTGTTCTTGCATTCCGACCATGGTTGCAGGATTCACAGTTCTCAATTGATTCAACTGGTTATGTGCTATGTAGCAGGGATGAGTATACAAAACATCTGATAATTGTTATTTCTAAAGTGTTTCCTATGTCTGTAGTTGTTAATATAATTCATACGCTGGACAATTCTCACACAGGCTATTTTATGCCGACCTGAGTCGTGCTAGGAGGCTGTCTACAAAGACAACATTTATCAGGAAGCGACAAGAAACTCGACTGGCAGACAAGAGCCAAGAGTTTGATCTTTATGAAGAGAAGGATGGCGCTCTGTTGGAGGCGGTGAAAAAATACATGGATGGAGTCAGGAAACAGTCACATCTGCTAGCAGTGAGTATATATATTCTACTCCCGGTTGAGCCTACAAGGCTTGATCATATTAATGCTATGTCAGTTCTACAAGCAATTGTTAACCCAACAGACACTCAGTTTGTAGACTTGTCTACAAACGCTCCAGAATCTTCCTTCACAACTCTTCCTCCAAACTAAGCCGTTAAAGCCCACGAGCTTCTAACGTGGCGGATTACAAAACCATCTGTGTAAAGGACAGCATCACCCTCTAGAGCGTTCTCGAAAATCAAGGCTTGAATTTCTGCTCCCACCGCTGCCGGACTCTGCATTTTCTGTCTAGTTGGATGCAACAACAAAACATGTACAGCACTCTAAAGGTACTTGCACCAACTCCTCGCCGGGTTCTATGTCCTCAGGTGAGCGTACCTGTAGAATAGTGTCCTCTGATTGACCCATCCTCGATTTGCCTCTTTTTAACCTGCTGCCTTTTATCTTTTTTGATACAACCAAATAGGGACTTAACCCACCAAGAGACGAAAACACTGATACAATCTAGAAAGGTGGCTAGATATACACACCAGATTCTCTCCCTGTAATATTTCACAAATCATTTATTCTTCTCAGGTGTCCACTCATGCGTCCTCTCTCAGTCAGGGCCGAACTTCAACTGTCTTACTCCTGTCTCTCGGCTCACGTCTTCCGTTCGTATCTCATGCTTTTCTTGTGTCCCTCACTTCGTTCACCATGAGACACACGAGACCCACTTATCCCGTTTTTCTCTTCTCTCACTGGTCCTCCGACCTTTCCTCCCCATCGGGAACTCTCTGGGATTTCCCCGGGAATTCACAACATTACACTCCCCAAAACTCGTTTCATCGCATCTATAGAGATGGGCAGTGTATTATATTCAGACTAAGGACTGGGCACAACAGACTTCGTCAACATATGTTCACATTTTTCGGTGTAGAAAACGTGTCCTTACAGCGTGGTATCTGAAAATGCTAAGCATGAGCACCTACACTTTCAACTGTATGCTGACAGCAGAGACGCAATGTAGCCTGTTCGGACCACAATGAAGACGAAGCTTTATGGTACACGAGAGGTTATGGACTGCACGATAGCTTTTTTCTGACAGAAGGATTGGAGAAAAAGAAGATATGAAAAGCTGGAGGCGATGATTTTGATTACACGAGCAAAGTAAAAGTAAGTCTGTAGTGCTGTGGATAAGGGGATAGACACCCAGTGCCTAACCTCTGGCGCCATCATCCTCTATGCTGGTTTTACGAAACCTCGGGGAACACTGACACACGTTGACGTCGTGCTCTCTAAATGGCATGTGTCAGTATAAGCAAAGATGGCAAGTCATCTTGGAGCTGGTGGTCCCCAGAGACGTTGTTGAGAGAGCACCTGACACTCCTCAGCCCATCTCCAGTACATGGGTGACAAACTGTATAGAGATCTAAGTTTATAATAAGCAAAGTTTACAAAAAGGAAGTTTACAAAAAGTGAAGTTTACGACGCCAGACTCTTACTGAACGACAACGGGTCAGATGCCTTTTAATCAGTCCTACTAAGTGGCAACAAAATGTACAGATTGGCTCTAGTCATCACAGAGATAATATGGAGGTATCCTTCGAAGCCGTAGTTACAATAGCCAGTTAGGCGAGGGAACAGCATACTGCACATATCTGCAAAATAGATAACCACACAAAACCCACGTACTGGAACACACTTAAAGCCCAGAAATGGACGAGTAACCAGAACTTTATGCTGGAGTTTACAGCAACGTAACAAAGCAAGTCCTGGATTTTAAAAGGCATCTCTCCTAGTATGGCGCAGAGTGAGCACTTGAACTATATTTGTCACAGTCAGAATGAGTAGTACATCGAACATATGACGATTGATTCATATGTATATAGATCAGTCGGCAGGCATTAGTTAAGTAGGTCACAAGGGCTGCATTTACTTCCACGAAAATTTCCCAGCCTTCCGGGTATGGTTGGATGGCACACACATGGTCCCTTTAACACAAAAGGCCTCTTGAGCTCTTTACTTATTATTACAAATGTGGTTAGGTTCTGAACAAATAATTTTCACAGAACACTCCTGTAATAGAAAATTATGTGATCCTTGAAGTTGGAGGGACATTTTGTTTTTTTACATGGACGTACCCTTTCCTAATGTACACTAGTAATGTACATAAATGCGTATTACAGTAAACAGGATAACGTTGTAAGGAGCAGAAACATGGAGAACACCTAAAACAATAACTAATAGACTTCATGCATTCATTATCTGTGCCTGCGCAAAAAAGCGGGAATGATAAGGTATGATACAATCCCCAGTGTTGAGCTTTGGGAGAGAACTAAACAAGTCCCAGTGGACCAACAGGTGAAAAGAGGACGCTGGCATTGATAGGACACACTTTGAGAAAACCTGAGAACAGCTTAACTATAATGTCTTTGCCCTGGAACCTACATAGACATAACAATAAAATAATTTCACGACGGCACCGTACAGTTCACGGGTGCAATTTTAGGGAGATTCCTAGGGATCGTCGTCGGAGCTACGGAGGTCGTGCTCAGTGCGACGCTCTCGGGGGGCTGACAGCTGTTCAGCAGAGAGAGCGAGAGAGAGAGAGAGAGAGAGAGAGAGAGAGAGAGAGAGAGAGAGAGAAAGAGACTGAGCCATTTGGGATAAAACATGGAGCAATGGCGTAGATCCCATTTTAAATAAAAAGGCAAGAAATAAAATATAGAGAGAAAGGAGCTAGAGAGTAAAGTTAAAAATATGGGGATGACATGGGGGGTGCGATGCATGCAATAGCCAAGGATAGAACGACTTAACGTGAGTTGATTGAGAGTCTATGCTCCACAGGGGAGTAGATGACAGAAAAAGAAGAAGAAAAATGGCATTTTTTACACCTATAGGCGTATTGGGCAAATAGTGCTTCACCTTCATTTTATAAACCAATTGGTATTCCTACCAAGCTGTAACCTTTATTCAGTCTTTCTGTTTGTCAACTTGCCTACGTGTCAGTGTATCAAAGACACGTTTCTAAGGCTTTTATAAATATGTCTGAATGCCTGCAAAATAACGCAGTGAAACTGTTCGACAGAAGTTAAAAGAAGGATGGCTATAGCAATGCAAATGTTAAAGAGCATTAACAGTCTATCAAAGGACAAGCGAAATATTTGTCGGCGCCTATGATGTAATCAGCAACTGCCAACATCACGCCGTCTCTTTTACTTCCTAAGACTTTGCCTGGTACTAACTCAAGGCTGGGTCGACCAGGAGAAAAAGGTCTTTTAGAAAACAAGTTTCAGCTCCACACGGATTCGAACCCGCGACCTTCAGAACAGAAGGCAAGCTACACTACGGCAGCTCTTGCATGCCATTATCCAGCGCTTTTATTCACAAGTATTATACGTGATTTTTTTTTTCGATGTTGAAATTTTAGCAGTTTAATAGTTAACCATTTGCATCATGCTAACAATGACATTTGTTTCAAGGGACTGTGTCATTGTGTTTTTAAGTCAAGTGCAATTTTTAACTGATGTCCCTGGGGATAGTCGCTGGAGAAGTAGAGTTCAGGTTCGGGCTTTATGCGACACTTTCGGTAGCCTGTTAGCTGTTCTGCGAACACTGAGCTATGTGTGAGGGTGCAACAAAGTCGACCTTCTGGAAACAAAATGTTGATTTTCAGAGTATATTATACAAATGAATATATCTAACAATAACTGAATTATGTGATTCTTGGTAGTCTGAAATAATGTATGTTGGGATGTGTGAATAAAGAAAACACTTATTTCCTATTTTCATGTTTTTATTCTAAGGTATTGAGAGCCAGGTCCATCTTCAGCCGAAAGTCTAATGCTCGATTGTCTGAAACTGACACAATGGATCTGACAGAGGTACTGTATCATATCAGATTCTTAGGTGTATGTACATTGTAATATAAACCAAGCTGTAGATTTGTAGGGTTCATATACATGACCAGTTTCCTACCTGTTTATAAATTGTTGTAGTTACAAACAATGGATGTGTAGGAGGTTTATAAAATACCAATGCATCCGTATTTATCAACAGTAATATTGTAATATGAACCGTAATTATACTTTTAAAAAAAAAAAAAAAACCCGCATAGTTATGCTATGGACCGTTTTATTCTTTTTTAGTTGATAGGAAAGCCGGTATACCTAAAAACTACAGATGACCCCTATACAAAAGAACTGTCAAGTTATTGCTTGAACCAGACGGTTTTTGCGTGTGTGCAATTTGAAAAATTTCGCTCATTAAATTACACATACTTTGAACGTCAAAACTATGGCAAAATTAGAATTACATTTAATAGCTAAGAGTCATTTGATTTTCCTTTTTTTTTTTTTTTTTTTTATTCATTCTTTATATTAAATTATTTTATTAATTCCCCGTACTGTTATGAGGCCTCAATGTGGAGGCGACATGCCTGTTGGAGGCTACTAAGCCAGGCCAATCACGCCCTAATTGGAACTTCCTAGAGGGTCAAGCGGCAGATCTGGGGTTTTCCTATTCGATTATCATCCTTAATGCAACTCTTTGAGGCTCAAATACTCAACAAGTCTCTTCTGTCTGAAGTTTTACTATGGCTGGAAGTAATTTAGGATGACCTGACAGGGAAACAGCTTTGTCGTAAGAACAGCCAAAAGACCGCTGTAACTGTGAGTCAAAATATTTCTTGTTCCATATTCGCAGCAGCAGACGTAATTCAGTTTAGCCGTCTCGCCACACATCCGTGATATGCGAATTGTCTCCCTCTGATGCGGGTAATCTGTTCTTCATGTGCTAAATGGGGTAGGGTAGGGTGGGGTGGGGTGGGGTGGGGTGGGGTGGGGGGGGGGGACAAACAGGGGTGACTGGAAAGAAATGAAGCAGGATGGGCTTAGGCGACAGAAAGAATCATCATCAATAAAACTAATCCATATTTCTAGTGTGACATGGTCGCCTTTACCTTTTCACAATGCACCTGACGACAAAAAGGATGATGTTGATGATGATAGTTTCAATAATGCTTCATTTAATCTCATATGTTTAGTAATATTCCTCTGACGACCAGGCACAGTCAAGGAAAAGTACTTATTAACACTAAAGATCAAATGGACAGTTGGGTTGAATATTTTAAAATGATTCTAAATAGACCAGGCCCAGAGGTTCCCCCAGATATCCAGCCTTTAGAAATGGAACTGGATATCAACTGTGAGATACCATCTTCTCAACGAGGGAAAGGCGGCAGGCTCAGATGGTATCCCAGTTGAAGCCATTAGGGCCAACATAAACACATCAACAGAATTGTTACATAGATTGTTCAGTAAAGTCTGGGAGACCGAAGAAATACCAGCAGAGTAGAGAGAATGATATCTTGTGAAACTACCCAAAAAAGGTGATCTACGGGAGTGTGAAAACTATAGAAGAATTATGTTGCTGTCAGTCCCTGGAAAAATATTAAGTAGAATTATTTCGGAAAGATTAAAAGATGCTATTGATAAAAAGCTAAGAGATGAACAGGCAGGTTTTCGGTCAAACAGATCCTGTACTGACCAGATAGCCACATTATGTATTATAAAAAAGCAAATCATTGAACTGAACTCACCACTCTACATTGGATTTATAGACTATGAAAAAGTATTTGACAGCATTGATAGGGAATTTCTTTGGAAATTGATGGGGCACTATGGAATCCCACAGAAAATTATTAACTTAGTAAAGGCAACATATAAAGACATGAAATGTCGATTTTTTCACGAGGGAAAGCTAAAAGATACATTGGAAATAAAAACAGGTGTGCGACAGGGATGTCTTTTGTCGCCTCTCTTATTTTAACTGGCTATAGACTGGATTATGAAAACAGTAACTGGAAAAAATGGAATTCAGTGGACCCCTACAAAACAGCTTGATGATCTGGACTTCGCTGATGATATTTCTCTTTTGTCCCATTCACGGAATCAGATACAAGATAAATTAAATATACTTGATGCTAGATCACAACAACTTGGTCTGAAAATCCATAAAGGAAAGTCAAAGATAATGAGATTAAATCAGGCAAGTAGTAATGTGGTTTCTCTAAATGACACCCCACTCCAAGACATGGAGTCGTACACATATTTGAGCTGTAATGTAGATAAAGATGAGTCCGACCTGGGAGTCAAGTCATTTTTTGAAAAGAGTGGGGCTCCGCCTGGGAGCGAACCCACGACCTTCCTATTCGCACGCGAGCGCCTAGCCGCCATGCCACGGCGACTCCCGTGTTCATTAATACTGAGACATTATTGAGAATGAGGAAGATGGCAAAGTTAAACATGCAAATTCCACGGGATCTTATTATTACTTTGATTTGCTAAAGCGTATATATGCGTTATCCTAAAGACATCTGATGTAAAGGTACTGTTTCAATGTAACAGACATCAAGGGAAGGAAGCCTTTACCAAGAAAATCAGGCACCAGACCCTCATAACTTTTAACTGGAATTCCGAGTGGCTACTACTATTATGACAGGTAGCTAATTGTTTACTTCTTATTGTCTTTCGAGAAAATTTGTTTTCTTTCCTATCCAATTTACATGAATAGAAACCCTTGTGGGAGCGTCAGTTCTCCCTTTCCCGAATTTTTTTTTTTTTGGGTGGTCGAATCGGGGGGGGGGGGGGGGGGGGGGGAGGCTTAGTGTTCCGGAGCTCCCAGGTTCATTTGCCTTATGTGTGCAAGGAAAATTGTCAGTGATCGAAGAATAACAACAAAACGTATAGTCGTAATCAATGTATATGATCAGAGCCACTGTAACGTATGATTAGAGTTGCTTCAACGTATGATGAGAGTCGCTGTAACATATGAGGAGAGTTGCTGTAACATATGATGAGAGTAGCTGTAAGATATGATGAGAGTAGCTGTAACGTATGAGGAGAGTAGCTGTAACATATGATGAGAGTAGCTGTAACATATGATGAGAGTAGCTGTAACATATGATGAGAGTCGCTGTATTGTATGAGGAGAGTTGCTGTAACATATGATGAGAGTAGCTGTAACGTATGATGAGAGTCACTGTAACGTATAATGAGAGCTTCTGTAATGTATGATGAGAGTTTCTGTAACGTATGATGAGAGTCACTGTAACGTGTGATGAGAGTCACTGTAATGTATGATGAGAGTCACTGTAATGTATGATGAGAGTTGCTGTAATGTATGATGAGAGTTGCTGTAATGTATGATGAGAGTTGCTGTAATGTATGATGAGAGTTGCTGTAATGTATGATGAGAGTTGCTGTAATGTATGATGAGAGTTGCTGTAATGTATGATGAGAGTTGCTGTAATGTATGATGAGAGTTACTGTAATGTATGATGAGAGTTGCTGTAACGTATGATGAGAGTCGCTGTAACATATGATGAGAGTTTCTGTAATGTATGATGAGAGTTTCTTTAACGTATGATGAGAGTCACTGTAATTTGTGATGAGAGTTTTTGTCACGTATGATGAGAGTTGCTGTAATGTATGATGAGAGTTTCTGTAATGTATGATGAGAGTTGCTGTAACATATGATGAGAGTTTCTGTAATGTATGATGAGAGTTTCTGTAATGTATGATGAGAGTTTCTGTAACGTATGATGAGAGTTTCTGTAATGTATGATGAGAGTTTATGTAATGTATGATGAGAGTTTCTGTATTGTATGATGAGAGTTTTTGTAACGTATGATGAGAGTCACTGTAATGTGTGATGAGAGTCGCTGTAATATATGATGAGAGTTGCTGTAACATATGATGAGAGTTTCTGTAATGTATGATGAGAGTTTATGTAATGTATGATGAGAGTTGCTGTAACATATGATGAGAGTTTCTGTAATGTATGATGAGAGTTTATGTAATGTATGATGAGAGTTTCTGTATTGTATGATGAGAGTTTTTGTAACGTATGATGAGAGTCACTGTAATGTGTGATGAGAGTTTCTGTAACGTATGAAGAGAGTTGCTGTAATGTATGATAAGAGTTTCTGTAATGTATGATAAGAGTTTCTGTAATGTATGATGAGAGTTGCTGTAAAATATGATGAGAGTTTCTGTAATGTATGATGAGAGTTTCTGTAATGTATGCTGCGAATTTCTGTAACGTATGATGAGAGTTTCTGTAATGTATGATGAGAGTCGCTGTAATGTATGATGAGAGTTGCTGTAACATATGATGAGAGTTTCTGTAATGTATGATGAGAGTTTATGTAATGTATGATGAGAGTTTCTATAACGTATGATGAGAGTTTCTGCAATGTATGATGAGAGTCGCTGTAATGTATTATGAAAGTTGCTGTAACATATGATGAGAGTCGCTGTAATATATGATGAGAGTCGCTGTAATGTATGATGAGAGTCGCTGTAACCTATGATGAGAGTCGCTGTAATGTGTGATGAGAGTCGCTGTAACGTATGATGAGAGTCGCTGTAACGTATGATGAGAGTCGCTGTAATGTATGATTAGAGTCATTGTAACGTATAATAAGAGTCGTTGTAATGTATGATGAAAATCGCTGTAACATTTGATGAGAGTTGCTGTAATGTATGATGAGAGTTGCTGTAATGTATGATGAGAGTTGCTGTAATGTATGATGAAAGTCACTGTAACGTATGATGAGAGTGTCTGTAATGTATGATGAGAGTCGTTGTAACGTATGATGAGAGTTGCTGTTATGTATGATGAGAGTCGCTGCAACGTAGGATGAGAGTTGCTGTAATGTATGATGAGAGTCGTTGAAACGTATGATGAGAGTTGCTGTAATGTATGATGAGAGTCGCTGTAACGTAGTGGTTAGGCGCTCGCCATCGAGCCTGAAGGTTTTGGATTAGAATCCATATTGAGGTGGATTTTTCTTTATTTTGAAATTGCCTTAGCCTAAAGGTAACAGATAGTGTCATGCGAAGCAAAGACGGCCGCATCATGTTGATCACATCACGGGTGAGTGCTGACTGGTCTACACAAATGCGAGCCTTAACATCACATGCCTGATGTTCCAAGGGCGGAAACAGGACCCATTACTTTACGCTTTGTATAATGCATATGAGTGACCAGGGTATCTGACCAACACAACACTCACGAAGAGGGAGCGAAGTACACACAGTCCAAGACCGTCTCCATCTGACGGGCCATGCTGCTGACGTAACCAAACCAGGCTACGATAGGTTAGTTAGTGACGTCAGCAGCAAACCCCGTCTGATGGAGACGGTCTTGCACAGTGAGACTGCTACTGGTTTTTTCGGAACTGGAACTCTTCACTGGCCGCCTGAACATGAGCACACAGCGCGTATGGGAGTGTGCCGTTCGTGACTTAACCCAGCTTAGATTAACAATATCGCATATTCCTATGTTACCATCAATTTAAACTTTCAAATATGACGCAAGTGACGAGAATGGTAATGCTTTAGCTTCACAACACAGTGATCTGATATTTAACAAAATGGACTTTCTAGTCCCCACAGGTTATGAACAATTTGTAATTTATTGCTTATTACAAACAAAATTGAGAACCTATTAAAAAGAAGTAATTTAATTGCTTAATGTTTTTTTTTTTCTATTTCAGTGCGTTCCTCGGTCACATTCGGGAGTTTTGATCCACAAAAGGCAACATAAAAAACAATACAAATCTATTTACAAGCACTGCTCTGTGTATTGTCTTTAAATGATTTTTTTTTTTTTTTTTTTCGCAATTTTTTTTAAAGCTACGAAAGAGTATTTACATTCTATCTGGGAGGCTCTCTGTGGTGTATTTTAGGACTGAGTTAAAGTATAGTGTAGAATTATTCAATCAGAGAGCTAATTTGTGGAAAGACGAGGGGACAGAGAGAGAGAGAGAGAGAGAGAGAGAGAGCGAGAGAGAGAGGGAGAGAGGGGGAGAGAGAGAGAGAGAGGGAGGGAGAGAGAGAGAGGGAGAGAGAGAGAGAACCAACCAACGAACAAACTTCATTTCTCAAGGGTCCCAAATTAGGCACTCAAGCGCCTCAGACTTTTAACCCTTTAAGACACTTAACTTAAGTTGTATTTTTTATCTACAAAGCATATATGTTTTAGTCATGTAGCAAAAAACATAATATCAGTATAAAGTAATTTCAAAACATGTATAGCAAATAAATACAGCAAATGTAAGTATGTGTGTGTATATATATATATATATATATACATATATACACACACGCACACACATAAATGCATTTTCATACTTATAGACCCCCATATATGCTGATAGTCACACACACATACTTATAGAGACATACAAAAATGCATACATACACATCTACACTCTCCCTCTCCCAACCTACTTACACACTGCTTTATAAAAATACACTTACACACATACACACACACACAAACATACATACATACATATATATATATATATATATATATATATATATATATATATATATATATATATATATATATATATATATATATATACACTTGCATACGGTGTCGTATGTCGGGAGCCCAACCGGCCCCAGCAAACTCTTAGTTGGACCAGTCTTGGTCTATAGCAAGTGAACAGTGCCGAAACGCGAACAGATGCTTACAGTGTGTGTAGGATGGTACAGCTTGGAGTGTCCAAGTGATCTAGCTGTCACTCAGGATTCAGATGAAACGCAAGAAGGACGAACTATAAGACTGCTTATGGTACCATTGAGGTTTTAGGTTTCAGAAGTTCTTTGAACAACGGATTAACATCATGCCACAATAGTAGTAACCCACAAGCGCCCCGTTCTTCTTCTAACTCAAATCTGAGTCCGAAAAAGCTCAGCACAGTAAACAGGCTCTATAGCACAGGGGATGATCCTAAAATATTTTCGATAGATTTTTGACTCCAAATTTTGCTCAGGCAGCGCTGTTAGGCTACTCTTTTCGATTTTCAACTGCTGAGGGATTTTTTTTACGTGCGCAGCAATGCACATGAGCGTCCGATCTGACTACCCAGAGACCAAGGGGAATTACTAAAAGGCCAAGTCCACGTGAAAATCCCAGCCCTTACCAGGAATTCAACACGTAACCTCTAGCACTCAAGGCGGACACCATGCCTCGAGACCACGCAGCCCCCATTAGGTACCATTAGTATTGGAACTCCACCCTAGTGGCCGTAGATGAAGACGGAGCACGCATGGAAATGTTCCGAGCGTTGTTGTGTTGGTTGTTAAATCAGCTAAACGTCGTGATACAAAGAAACATTTCACTAAAGTTTTCTGCCGACTGGTGTGATTGATCATGCTTCTCAAATTGTGTGTATCATAATTTCGGTTTTCAGTCTTAACTTTCTCCGAAACACAGAGTACTGGGCACATAGGGCTAGACTTATATTTTATAGACTGATCCACACTTGGTGCGTGATGTGATCAGCATTACACCGGCTGTCTCTGCTTCCCATGACTTTACCTGGTCGACCTGGGAGCCAATGCTATTTTCTTAAAAAGTCTGGTTTCGTCAGGAACCGAACCCACGATCTTTAAATCCGCACGCGAGCGTCTAGCCGCTATTTTACGGCGGCCCCCATGCAATACAACTGTGACTTTAATATTATGACTGTTTTGTTGTGGTTGCTTTATTTCTAATTCTGCATGAAGCTCTGGGTGCAGTTAAGGGTCAGCGGCTGATAAGAGGGAGGTCATAGATGGCTCAGGCAGAAGACACTATCAGACAGGTTTGCATCCATGAGAACATTAGGCGAGGAGAGGAGTGGGTCAAAGTGCCACCTGAGCAGTCAGACTTGTATAGAATCATGATCACTCTGAGCCGGGAATGCAGAGACTGGCCAGCAGGTGCCACCGAGGTGGAAATTCAGCAAATATTTCAAGATAATGCTCGCTCAGAGGATTTGATCATTTACACAAACGGTTCAGTGTCAAGAGGCAAAAGAAGTGCTTGGGGCTTTTTAGCAAAAGTTAATGGTCGACGTTTGGTGCAGCAGAGCCTAGCATATGATACCACAACATCCAGCTTAAGAATGGAGGTGGAGGCGGTCATTGCAGCTTTCCGCTGGCTAGAGAACACGACACACACACACATTGTAATTGTAACTGATTCAGAAAGCATGCTGAGGAAGATCAGAACAGGTATTCTTCGTGCAGAGTGGCATGCTTCGCTGCGACAGACTGGCTGGCTCTGCACAACTTGGTGGAATACTGCTACATGATAGGGCAGACGTGGTTAGTGCATTGTGGGAGAGCGTGTACAATGCGGAGGAGCAGATGGATCTCCACAGTTTGGTGAGATTGATGCAGTTGGGGGTGACGAGAGGTTCTGGCAGAAGCTCAAGGCTCAGAGGAAAGGCAAGACGGACATTTAATCAGAAAGCTACTGGCACCATTAGTATCGGAACTCTTCGCTGGCTGCTGAAGATGGAGACGGAGCGCTTATGGGAATGCCCCGGGTGCTGTGATGTCGGTTCTTGAATCAAATCAAATCAAATCAATCTAATTATAAAAAAAATTTTGGTCCACTTTGTACATGGGCTCTAAACCGACGGAGAGCCTGTGGTCTTCAGCGTTGGCACCTGCATTGATCTTATACAGTTGCTCTCTTCTGGCCACATTGCCGTTCACCGCCAGGCACGTTTTATAGTCGTCTTATCTCTATTACAGCACAAGATATTTGTAGTTACTGGATACAAATATGTATATTTTATCTCTGTTTTTCTTTCGCTATTTTATTCGAATATGGAGTGATCTCATGAGTAGTCATAGCATATTCTTCATAAAGCAAGCAGCCGCTGTGGCGCACAGGCTCGGCTCCTTGAATCAGGCCCTAAGATCACGGGGTTGAGTCTCATTCTCAGTCGGCATTATGGACGGTTTAAAATAGACTATTGTGGCATGGGTAGATACCATGCATCAGTACGCTAACATTGCAGGGAATTACCTAGGTATACTGTCCGGAAAATGCAGGCCTGCGAGGAAATGAAAGAGCGGACTGTCTGGCTACAAAGTCGAAAGCTACATGAACAATCGTACTGGACAAGGGAGATATTCTGAAGACCATATATGAACGACTTTTGGCAGAAGACACGAAATTAGATGAAAAAATATAGGCCAAAATGTGAACGAGGAATTAAATGTGAATCCGGCAAAGTTGGACGAATGAGAGGAAGAAATCGGCGTGTGTATAAACATTGTGCTACTGGAATAGTTAGCATATGCACCGTCCTTTGCTGCGGGAGACTGAGCGTCTATGTGTATGCCCGGTGTACTATGATATCGATTCTTAAATCAGTAATCGGGGTTGAATTCGTATCGAATAGGACTTTTTCCCTTCACAAATTGTCATTGGCTTCCAGATTCACCCATTTATTTTAAAATACGTGAGAGGCAAGTCTTGTGAAGTAAAAGGCAGCCGGCTAAAATAGCACGGATACAAGATAACTCCTTGAAGTAATAATGACATCTTTAAAAATGTATACTGGTTGGACAAGGTGTGCAAAATAATACGATTTCAGCTGGTCAGCTTGGTCAGTTAAGAGTTAAGGACAATAAATAATGCCTAACAATTAGCATAGATAAATTAGTTGGAATTTAGGCAGTAGTATAAAGAATACAATGGACAGATGCAGATGCGCTGAATATTAAAACAGAATGCGCTAATTGTAAATTTGTTTGTGAGAGTTTCTGTAAGTTGTTATGTGAACTGCTACTGAACTTGGGAAGATTTGCCAGCAGGTTAAATGTCCAGCGGTGATGAAGAATCATCATAAGATTGAAACTTAGTTTAATGCATCTCTTTAGGAGTGTTCACTCTACAATCTGGAGAGAAAAAAAGACAATGGATATTGTGAAATACAAGCGATTAGTAACTTTAAATTTTGAAAAGAAATCAAAATCAACAAGCGATTTCAACTAAAAGTCAATAGTAACACTGACTTTAATGCATTGCTTTTGTATATAATATTTCGGCGGAGTGCAGGATAATACAACTCAGTTTGTTTTTCCAAACTTACAAATATGCAATTAATTACAGTATTTAATTTATTATTGTGAAGTAGGCTACTTAAAACGAAGGCAGACATTGCAACCAACAAATCATCAGCCACTAATTAACCAGCCAGTCAATTAATTACCAGGTACAGTGTAGGTTATAAGATTATTACATCACTTTAGCTGCCTTACTATTTTCTCTACACGTGCATCTCGTACGTCCATCCCTGCAAACTTACGTGTTTAAGTCCATGTATGAACATGTTGTTTCCAGGATGCCCTCAATCTTTTTTCTCAGCTCTGTAAAAGATGGTCTGTCGACAGGCTGCGGGTGCCAGCAGTTGAGCATTATATTATATCTGCAGACAGTAACACATCATGTTAACGAAACCGCAATAAAATTCAAAATGTTTTTATTTGAAATTTAATCCCTTAGCCATTTCTACCGATTGAGCAATGGATAGCAAATTATTCCTTCCCACGTCGCCTAATGTCAAAGAAAGAAAGCGATGATTACTAAAATGATTGGCATTTAATAAATACCAGTATGCTTTTAATTTAAGCTAATGTGGCTCTGAGGGTAGACGTTCACATCTCGTCCCAACAGTTTTTAATTTTAATCAGTTCCCAGAGAATTATAGGGGAAATGAGATTGGCTTTGGTAATAGACTCAGAGGACGACCAAGCGGAATATGGACCGCAGAAATATCAGAGACATTAAAAATTACTGCACTCGAAGAGAACATAAGGACCCGTTCTAAAGATCTTTCTCCACTGACGCCGTGAAGCATTCCAAGAGTAGAAAAAAGGAAAAAGACAGAAGTCATTGGCTTCCAGGGTGATCCAGGCTAAAGTGATAAAAGACTATTCCCTGTGAAGTAAGGATTGATTACATCCCCCACTCAGTGCAGATTGGTCTATAAGAATATAAGTCTAGTATTGTATGCTCAATGGAGCACTAAAGGCAGAGATGCATACAACAACTTTAAAGAACCCAGCCTTAACACACAGGTACGGGACAAACTGAAAATCCCAGCTAACAAATTACTATGGAGAGCTAGGTTAGGGTGGCATCCAGAGAAATTTAAATCTCCCCTATGTCCTGACTGCTTTGAAGATGATACAATAGAACATTAAATGATAAACTGCACTAAATACAAATTGGAGAGGAAACCCATTGAAGAGTGTTTTCTAAAACGCAAACAACAGATTACTGCAAACAAATGTTTAAAGGTGGATAGCAATGAAGACATCCACAAACTTGTTAAACAGTACCTAATAAAAACAAACCAAAACTAAAAAGACCAGGTTGAGGATCAACTCAGGACAGCAGAAGGAACTGATCAGATTTTGACTCCGGACACACTAGCGTAAGGGAGGTAGTGTAAGTATGTTGAGTGCATAGATGTGAACATGGATGGATACACAAGGATGAGTGCGTGTAGGATGAGTGCATTTATGTATAGGATGGATACATAAGACAAGATGTATCTAGGCGAATGGTAAGGGGTCACGTATGGACATGACAGTGGGAATATAGCTGTGCGAAAGTTACAGATGAACGAGTTCATGGATATAGAAATGTATTGCTGAATGCATGTGTATGTGTGTATGAGTGTGCATGTATATATATATATATATATATATATATATATATATATATATATATATATATATATATATATATAAATGGGAGCGTGTTTGTTTATATATTGGTGTGTGTATGAATGACAGTACACTCCAAGAACCCATAAATTGTGTTGCTGTATCGCTGTTAATTAATGAGAACAAATGGAAAGAAGAGTGTACGCAGCAAGAACGACATCAAAACACACCATCCACCAGAACATGATAAGACAGTACCAGACAGGTCACATACCAGTAACGGGACATAACTTAAAAATTGACACGACCAGACGATATTACAGACATAGCGACACAAAATAACACACAAGACATGGAAGAGTGAATGTCCCTACGTGTGGATGTGCACGTTTTTTATGAATGTAAGTACAGGCATTGGTAGACGCATATGAAAGAGTTTGCGTGTGTTTGTAATGTCAACTAGGTATGTATACACTTATAAGTATGAAAGGACGTGCAAACATGTAGTGCTGTCTGCGTGTATGAATACTCGAGTGCATGTACGCATACACTTAGTTGTGTGCGACCATATACTCCGGGGATTCATACTCAAAACCATCCCATTCCACATCATGCCTACAACATGCACATGACCGGTAGGACTCACAACAAAATATATCTGATATCAAATAGGGAAAACAAGTGATTCGATACTGACAGGACTAGAACACATAACCATTAATACCACCCCATCATTGGGATGATAGCAAAGGTTGGTAACGTGATACACATAGTCCCGGCAAAAGAGAGGAAACAAGAAGAGACACCAGATAAGAAGAGGAAAGAAACGAACAGCTAACAACAGGGTGCAGGACAAGCGGTCAGAACCGGATGGAGACATCAAGCCCAGACATGGCGCAATACTAGAATTTAGTCACGTAAGTGACACAAATAACCCAGACAACAAATATAGGCGGAGACTGTTAGCAGCCTCGGCTAGCTAGCAGCAGTCTGAAAGTGGTCGACCTTTTATTTTTTTCTCAAAAGGACTAGGACTTTATCCCCACCAAAAGCCGGTTTAAATGGACGCTACGCACGGTCACTGTTCTGAGTCGTGGAAAATATGTTGCTTATGCCAGACGGTGGCCGTTGCATTTTTGCTTCTTTTGTAGACTGAAACGATATAGTTTCGTCGCCCAACTTCTGAGTTGAGTGCATGGCGTGATACTTTGAGCTACGGATTTTATTTAAAATGTTTTTCAACTGTGACCAACGTGGTGGTGTGAATTGTAGATTCAGAAAATGGTGCGGTGCCTGTTGTCGCAATACTGGTGCTGGCATTATGTGATTAATATTGATCGCGTGTGCTGATCTGTTGGTGACTTCTACTACCATCGATGATGAACTGCATTTCTAATGTCGGACTGTTTGTGCCAGCACTTCGGATGGCTACCGTATGCTTTTAATGAGTGTGAATGCTAGTGGATATGCCGAGACAGCAGTCTGTCAATCTTTCCACAAGTGACTGTGATAAACATTCTGTGTGTTTTTGTTGGCACAGGAGCGGAGCAACTATGATGTGACCCGTTTGCTATGAAGCTGATACTAAGATTACAAAGATTACCAAGATGTTCGGGTGAAAGTTCATGGTTAAAGGAGATTTCCCCTTTAACGGGCATTCAGTCGTTCCGTAATAAAAAAGGAGTTTTCCTCGACATCTCAAGTCTCCGTAATCTTTTATATTCATATTTATTCAACGGATCAGCAACATCGCACACTGTGTAACCCATACGTGCTATGTTCTTCTTCTAACTCAAGCCTGTGTCTGAGATTTTTTCAGCGCAGTGCATGAACTCTGATGCGCCGGCGAGGATCCTGAAATACTTTGGGTAGTTTTATAACTGCCGCTAGCGGCGTGGGAGATACATTCGGCGGTGGCAGGAGAAGTTCGCAATATACAAGTGGCTGGGGCCCTGTTATGGTGTGTTTTAGGCCGCCATAATATGTGTGTCTATCTGGCCGGCTAGGTCGTGTCCTCTCATTGTGCAGGTTTGGATCTGTCATCTCCTATTGTGTCTTTGAGGCTTCAGCCCCACTGAACTGGGGCGAGAATCCCTCAATAAGAAGACTTGTTAACAAACATGGAACTGGGGCGAGTCGGGCTCACTACATAAAGACTGGTGAACCGGCAATGAACTAGGGCAAGCAGTGCTCACTAAAGAAGGCTGGTGAACCAACATCGAACTGGAGCGAGCAGTGCTGACTACAAGAAGACTGGTGAACCAGCAATGAACTGGGACGAGCAATGCTCAATACAAGAAGACTGGTTATTTAGCAATGAACTGGGGCGAGCAGTGCTCACTACAAGAAGACTGGTGAACCAGCAATGAACTGGGGCGAGCAGTGCTCACTACAAGAAGACTGGTGAACCAGCAATGAACTGGGACGAGCAATGCTCAATACAAGAAGACTGGTTATTTAGCAATGAACTGGGGCGAGCAGTGCTCACTACAAGAAGACTGGTGAACCAGCAATGAACTGGGGCGAGCAGTGCTCACTACACGAAGACTGGTGAACGAACATCGAACTGGGGCGAGCAGTGCTCACTACAAGAAGACTAGTGAACCAACACTGAACCAGGGCAAGCAGTTGCTCACTTCAGGAAGGTTGGTGAACGAACATCAAACTTGGGCCATTAGTGCTTAGTATAGGAAGACATGTGAACGAACGTCAAACTAGCGCGAGTAGTGTTCACTATTAGAAGATATGTAAACGAACATAAGACTTGGGCGAGCAGTGCTCACTACATGAAGACTGGTAAACCAGCAATGAACTTGGGTGATCAGTGCTCACTGCAAGGATGGTAAACAAGAAGAAGAAGAAAAGAAGAAGAAGAAGAAGAAGAAGAAGAAGAAGAAGAAGAAGAAGAAGAAGAAGAAGAAGAAGAAGAAGAAGAAGAAGAAAAAGAAAAAGAAATAGAAGAAGAAGAAGAAGAAAATCGTTGCTACGAAAAGTATCATATTTAATATAAATTTTGTCCTTGTAAAGATTGAACAGCCTTTAAAATCTATGGTTAAGCACCAGCAAGGAGATAAAAATTAGAATTTTGAGAGCATCTTCCCTGTGGCTACATACGGATGTGAGTCGTGGAATATCTCTCAGTCCTTAAGAAAGAGAATAGAGGCTTTTGAGCAGAAATGCTATAGACAGATTCTCAGAATATCTTGGACAAAGAAATTAGAAATATTGACATCTCAAAAGATCTGAACATCAAGGAAGATTGGCTAATAAACAGCATCCTGTCACGGAAGCTGAAATACTTTGGTCATATCAAGCGTCACGACTGATTGGAAAAAAATTGTAGCAGAAGGCATGGTACCAGGAAGGAGGGGCAGGGACCGACCGACACGAAGATGGGCACAGGATATAAGTGACTCCTTGAGTGTGAAAGTGCATGAGGCGGGAGAATTGGCAAGATTTCGAGTTTCTTTCAGGCAGACTGTGATGAAAGCGACGTTCTGCAAAGGATCTGCCAAATGATGATGATGATGTTGTCCTTATAGAAGTTTCAGCTCAGGCTATCTTTCAGCGCATTGTCGAAGTATGGGAATATTATTACACAACTAAATTTTAACGCATTCTTTTAATTATAAGGCTGAATCTGATTGGTTGTAATATAATTTCTTTGTGTGTTTTAAAAATTAAGCAACTGTTGCTTGATTTTCATCTGTTACGTTACACTGAGAAATGTGCCAACAATTGATGGCTTGAAAGAAATTCTCTCGAAGAAAATCGATTTCCAGCACCAGAAAGAGACAGTCTACATTCTTTGATCATGTCATGAGAAGGAGAAAACTGGAGTACATCGTCACAGTGGGACTGTTGGAGGAAACAAGAGGCAGACGGAGACGGAGAGAAAAGATGCTGGACCGTTTGACAAAATGGCAGGGACGATCGTCTGTGTCAGAAATGATTGAAAGTATAAGAGACAGAAAGAAGGTTGCGGGCAGACATGACTACCAACGCCACACGGCATGGACTATAAATATAAGAAAGGTGACCGGTGTGATGCGGACTACATAACCCATCGAGTGACGATTGGTCTATAAAATATAAGTATCTAGCTTATAAGTATAGCTTATATATTATAAAATAGATTATCTACCGAATAACGGTCACATCTTGTGGCGGCCGGGAACGCACCCTGACAAGGCCTCAGTCACATGTACATTGCGCACTTCCGGCGACTTGAATTGCGCACTTCCGGCGACTTCTGCCACGTCAAGAGTGAGGGGGGGGGGGGGGGGGGGGGCTTAACTAGATGGCTGGGACTCAAGAGCAGCAGCTACCGCATCTCCTGCAGCTTCAGTTATTTATTTTGCTCGTGAGTCCCCGCCATCTAGTTTAGGTCCACTCCACGCCGCGCGTGGCTTCGTGTGAGATGCTCTCGGCAGTGGCGGAAGTAAGCAATGTACATGTGACTGAGGCCCTGTCAGGGTGTGTTTTTGCTCGCCGTATTATGTGCCCGTTTTTCGGAGGATAGCCAGAAAATATATAAGCTTGGGAAACTGAAGAGCATACACTACGAGATCCGCCTAGCCCTATCAAAGCGAGACAAAGGGAGACAAAAGAAACAGGATACACCAAAAAAAAAAAAAAAAAAAAAGAGGAAAGACATGCACAAGTAACAACAGGGTGTAGGACGAGCGAAATGGCACAAATACTCGAATTCAGCCACGAAAGTGACGCAAATAACCCAGACCACAAATATAGGCGGAGACTGTTAGTAGCAGCAGTAGCTAGCAGCAGTCTGAAAATGGTCGACCTTTTAATTTTTTTTTCTTCAAAGGACTTGGACTGGTATGCTCGATGCGCCACAAATGATGCTGTTACTGAAACTTGACTTATTTTGGCATAATGAAAAGGGATATAGACAGGCATAATGTTCATGAAACTTGGTGGAATACGGCATTTATCTAATGCAGTTTGATAACGGCTAAAACGATATTATTGACTGACTGACTTTCTACCCCACTAGGACATCACACAAGCGACAAACACCCGATGACACAAAGTGCCACCATGCGGATTAGGGTCACCGTGGAGAGGTCCCAGAAAGCGCATTCAGACAATTGGCCATATTATGGCCTGCCTATATTGCGGCCCCTGGCAAAAGCCAGGGTGGGGCTTCAAATAAAAAAAAAATGTCGTCCTAAAAAGGACGAAACTGGATTATACCACCGATTATGATATTATTTAAACTGGCGATGCTTTTAATGAAACTAGACTGATTTTGACATAGTTTTAACGAATCTGACATAGACAGGCATCGTGATGAGAATTTGTGGAATAGAGCCATTTTGTTAATGAAGTTTGATATACACTGACATGATATTACTGAAAAGTTATAACGTTATAAAAAAAAAATCTTTATAAAGCTTATAAAACTATTAGTCAAATTTGATATACACTGATATGAGTTAACACTAGTCTCGTTCTGTGAGAATATTAATGACATCTGACCAGAGATGTTCAATAGGCTTCGTAAAGAATGTTTCCATGTTAATGAGATTTAATACAGACAGGAATGATGTTAATGCAATTTAAAAAAGAAAACAAGACAACAAACTGTCAAAGAAATAAAGTAATGTCACCTACAGAAGAAGATACAATTTGATGAAAAATGGCAAAATGTTTTTTTTTTTAAATTTGACACAGAATAGCGTGAACAAAACGAACTTAAGACCAGATTGCAAGATATTAATTAAGGCTGGTAGACCTAAACCTGGCATCATAGGAAATCTGAAACAGTATTCACTGAAACTTGAAACAGAGTGACATTATCCTACTGAAACTTACCAAATGGAAATATTTTCCTAACGTAACTCCAGACAAGGTGCAATTATGAAATGAAACCCGAAAAATGGAAAATGAAAACTTGAGAATGGATGAAATTATTCTAATAAAACTTGATGAACTTAAAATGTATCCTATCATGCTTGAGAACAGGTGAAATAATCATAATGAAAAGAGATTAAAAAAAAAAAAAAAACATAATTAGAATGAAAACTGAGATACAGAGAAATTATCCGAATACAACTTGAGAAATGGAAACTTTAACCTTCAACCTTTAATCAAAGGATATGCAGCCAACTTTTCAATATAACTAGTAATAAATTCAGGAAAATATAACAAAGACAACATGATGATAAAAACCAACTTTTCAAAATGACTGGTAATGAAAACAGGAAAATACAGTCGACTTAACCATAAGGTAACAAAAAACTTTTTTTTAAATAGCTGGTAAAAAACAAACAGAAAAATACCCTTAAATAACAACTAGCTTTTCAAAAAAAAAAATCTGGTAAAAACAAACTTGAAAATACTTGACACTTAGAAAATTATTTGAATGAAACTTGATAAATGAAAATAATATTTTATTGAAACTTGAGAAAGGGTGAAATTAGCCCAAATGAAACTTGATAAATAAAAACATTAACCTGACGAAGCGTGACAAAGGGTAAACTTATCCTGATAAATCTTAAAAAAATAGAAACATTAATTTAAAAGGAACTTGAGAAAGTGTAACACTTTTCTAATAAAGCTTGATAAAAGGACATATCACCCTAATGAAACATGAGAAAGGGGTAAATTATCCTATTTAAATTTGACAACTGGAACCAATTTTCTATCGCAACTAGAGAAAAGATGAAATTATCGTAACGATACTCAAAAAATGATACCTAGGAGATTAGTCAACAAAGAATAGGCGTATCAGTTGTTTTACGCTTGGTTAGATATCAAAAATGAGATAGGAGTACCTAAGGATCTGCCTGCAGTGCTGTGATGCCAATGCTACTACAAATCACAAACACTTGGGGAAGGGAAGAGGGGCAGAGACAATATCCTAATGCTTGAGAAAGAATAACATTGTCCTAAAGAAACTGGATAAATTATGACATTATCCTTGTTATACCTGATACATAGTGACATCATTCCAACGATACTTGAAACGTGATGACATTATCTGAATAATATATGTGAAACGATGACATTATCCAAAAGAAACTTAATGAATGTGGGACGATTTCCGAATAATAGTTGATAAATGGTGTAATAATCCTAACGATACCTAATAAAGGATGACATTATTCTATGATACTTGATAAATAGCGACCTTATCCTAATCATACTTGAGAAGGGATTACTTAATCCTATCGGGAGGTGATAAAGGATGTATAACCTGTTTTGAAATGTTGCAATGAAAACGTGTAACATGGTAATACAAACCATGACCACGCACTGAATGACTTTTAATACACAAACGATGATGTAGCTGAACTGACATAATGTATGACACCACTTACAAGTCTGTTGAACAATTACTTGGCTTCCCAAGCCTGTAGCCTCCTTTGAGCAAATCGAAAAGATCTTTGTTTGGTATACCTGGATAAGGGCATCCTCCTAGAGTGACAATTTCCCACAGTAAGATGCCATAGGACCAACTAAAGACATCAAACGTAATAAATCATTATCAGCGTACAATTATTTCTCTCCTAATAAACAACCTTGGCTCTTAGTCGACCCAGCTGTAAAAGGGTCCTAAGTAAAATCATGGGAATTAAAAGTCGACGGCATAATGTTGTCCTCACCACGTACCGGGTTCCATTTGGCCTCTTAAAGTATGGGTCTAGGACTATATGCCCAATATGCCTAGAAGGGGTACCAGGATGGGCTGTCCTGGGAAAGTAAAGACAGCCGGCGTAATGCTGACCACATTACCCACCAAGTGCTGATGGTCTGTAAAAATATAGGCACTCTTCCCATATGCCCGATACGCCTAAAGGCGTGGAAAGGGATCTTTACTTTTTATTTTACTGACGTCACTAAAAATGGCACTTGAGTTATTCACAGTATACGTGTGAGTGTATCGTCTACACACCTCTGATCTCTCAAGGCATATCACGGGAGCTGTTATAAAAAACTGTTTTAAGTTACAATAAATTGTATCTTGGAAAACATAAGCTTATTGGTATTCAGTGCTCTTACTTCTGCTTCTGCGTTCGCCCTTGAAATGGTTATTTAGACCTTGTTTTGTGGTTTACAGCTAGGCTACGATATCCCCATCTTTTGACCCAACATATCCTATTAAAGCGAACATCTATTTAGTCGCCTTTTACGACATGCATTTTAGGGGTCTGTGGATCTATCCCTCTCGCCACCCAAATGAGGCAGAAGAAGCAAATAGGGATTTCGCTTAAATACTGAAGAAGATAACTGCACTTCTGACTGCAAGAACAGCGTGATGAAAGGAGTGTGACCAAACAAAAGCACTGCAGAAAGCCAAATTATAAAAAGAAACCAACACAGAATTGGTGTAGTCAGCTGCTGCTACACGCTGCGGGATTAACTAACTAACTAACTAACTAACTAACTAACTAACTAACTAACTAACTAACTAACTAACTAACTAACTAACTAACTAACTAACTAACTAACTAACTAACTAACTAACTAACTAACTAACTAACTAACTAACTAACTAACTAACTAACTAACTAACTAACTAACTAACTAACTAACTAACTAACTAACTAACTAACTAACTAACTAACTAACTAACTAACTAACTAACTAACTAACTAACTAACTAACTAACTAACTAACTAACTAACTAACTGATTGGAAAACTAACTAACTAACTAACTAACCACCTATCTAACTAACTACTAACTAAACTAACTAAACTAGCTAGCTAACCAACTAGCTATCTAGGTAGCTAAGTAACAAGTAACTAGCTAGCTAGCTAACTACACTTTTACTTGTATATAACACCTTTATTTATCAGTTACAGTTTGTGTGTGTGTGTGTGTGTGTGTGTGTGTGTGTGTGGTCTATTGTCCACTGAAATTACACTTCAGTATGTTTGTAGTACCATACTCCCGGTAGAGTATTAGATAACACGACGGCGTGCCGACAATATGGTCATCTGTTCAAATTCTCATCAAGAAAATAAAGTACAAGAATGCACACAAAACTCATCTAACGCCAGATGCTAGTTGAATATGTTTACAGATCCGTTAGCACTCAGTGGATGGTCAATTGTACATCACATCGGCTGCCTTCACGTTTGAAAGCATTCATTGAAAGGTGATTTACTAACTGAATCCGTCCAGTGTGGATTTGAGCCCAAGGCGAGAGTGTAGCCCCTTTACCAACATGTATTTCCCCGGGTCTAAACCTAGTTAAGATGACACAGTTATGATTTATCGGTTCGATTAACTTGACATCCCTCCGCACACATCCACAGGTGCACAGATTCACCATTCAGTACAATCATCACCGTCATGCTGTTAAAAGTGCCAACCCTGTCTGGGTAATAAGACGTCTTGTGCTTCATGCGTGCCTCTCATGCTTGGCGGTGACGTTCCAAAATCCTCTGATTATCCTATCTCTCTGAGGGCATTACAAATGTCGGCGTGCTCCATAGGCTGCCCATCTGCAACTAATGCAGACCCTGCCAATCTCTCAGCTCTATCATTGCCAACAACACCTGCATGCCCTGGTACAAATATGAAAGTAGCTGCACGCACTTGAGAGTTTTTCAATGACCTATTCCAGTGTCAGCGTATGGAGTCTGCCTCGATCCGTAGATCATGCTCATACAATCACTCAGCACACATACACACACACACACACACACACACACGGTAATGGTCCTGTGATTCCAGCCACATGAAAGCTTGTGTCGGCGCCAACACCTCTAACGTCATGCGGCTGGTATGATACAATATGGAAAGCAAAGGCAACTGACGTAAGGAAAACTATCTGTCGATCATAAGCCATTTGTTTTATTAGGCTAAAGGAGCTTACCCCGTCTGTTAGCCCAGGAGCCCGGGGGGGGGGAGGGGGGGGGGTAAAGATTCGACTCTCGCTTCTGGTCCGAAGGTGGTGGGTTCAAATCCGAAACTAGCCGGACATATTACCAACATTGTTTTTGGCTCCCTGGTCGACCCAGCCTAAACGGGTACCAGGTAAAGTCCTAGGAAGTAAAAGCGACCAGCCGGATGTTGACCATTGAAGTACTAATTAGTCTATAAATGAGCCTAGAATCAGATGTCCGATGCGCTTTTGGGATGATAATTGTGCTTCACATTCTTTCTTTTCCTTTTTATTCAGTCCTTTCTATCTTTATTAAATATGTACGCACAATAATTTTCAAATTTTTTTTTTTTAATTTTGATTCAACATCGTGATATGTTTTTACAGCGTTCTTAGGTGTCAATGTCAGCCTAACAGCTCCATTGAAATACACCTTCTGTGTGAAAGATGTGTGTTTGGAAGGGCCGAATGTAAGACGGACCTGCGTGCCCCATTTGTGACCCTTTGAAAATAAAGGTTGTTCGTTCGTTCTTGGTCTGCCTGGTCGCATACTCTCATTCAACTGTTTTGTGAGCACACTTTTTTGTGTCTCCGTTAACTGCTATTCTCTCTGATTGCCCCACCATTTGCATTTCAATATGTTAACTTTGACGATGCTAGCATAGTAATTCAAGGTGATTTCTGCAGCTCAATAAATAACTGCGTTTGTGGTAATTAGAGTCAGTTATATAAACATGGATAAAACTCACACATCGCTTTTGATTGTGAAGATCTGGTCAAATATGGACTCTGGGGGCATCCATTTGTATGGCAAACGTCTCCCAGAGGTGGGCTGGTACAAGTTGGTTTCATATACATCCCGAGACAGGCCGAAGTCGGATATTTTCACCACTGTGTGACTTGACATGAGAATATTTCGACATGCCAAATCTCTATGGATGAAGCGATGTTGGTTTAGATATTCCTGAAACAAATCGGCAATTAAGTTTATATCCTGTATAAAAAAATATTTAAACACAGCATATTCAGGCAATTCCTATTTTAGCTGTTCACTTAGCAGAAGTTTATTAGGAAAATACACATAAACTTCACATTAACAAAATCATTATGTTTGCTAAATGATTATATTGTTTATTAATAGTCGTATCAAAACAGAGAATGCAGATCTCGTAAATAATGGGAGTTTCTGTGGGGTTATTTAAAAGGTGTATTAAAATTAAAAGTGAATGATTAAATACATTTAATTTCAATATCATTACTGCTAAATTATATATTGCTTAATCTTCGAAATTACAAAGTGTTTTATATATATATATATATATATAATTTATATATTTGTATATATAAATACACATATTTATATACATTGTGTAAGTAAATATAGTAAAACTTCGTTTACACAAACTCGCCTAAGAAAAACATTCAGTTAAAAACAACACAACATTACCCAGCATGGGTGTATTATATAAGACCTCAACTAGCACCAATTATTTTAACAAGAACCCTTAAATGTTCGATCAATTGGAATTTGTGTTAACGAGGTTTTAATATTCTAGCTAATACACGAATGCACAAACAAACCATTCCAACAGCGATCTGTCTCGCATATGACAGCAGTTTGGCCTGTGTTAACGTTTCTGCTGAATTTGTAATCGTTGAACCTACCAAAAAAAAAAAAAAATTTTTTTGAGTCTGTATATCACGACAATGTATTATCTTCTAAGTTTTTTTGTTTTGTTTTTGTATCGTCACTTCTCACAATCTTCTCTCATTCAATCAAAATGGCGATGGTTATTTTTTTATCACGTTCACAACCTTTTCTTCTATTATCAAACGTTTCCAATATATATTTTCACCGTGCGAACTTGATATGATTTCTAGAATCTCACCTCATGGTCTTCTATGTCTCAATTCCTTTTCAACCGCAGAGCTGCAGTTAGGTATTCTGATGTTCTTATTGAAAATCGAAAGAATGTATACTGTTATGGAGTAACATCTTCTCTCACGGCTGATTTTCTTTAAACATATGACTATTTTTGAGCAGCGTTCTCATGATCCTTTCATAGAAACATACTGCCGATGTGAGTATATGTCTATACGGATAGCTCTGTGTTAAAATTTAGTGTTGTGAGTCAGAGGGAAGTTCACCGTGGTTCATGGTAAACAATCAAATGGACGATACTTAGTGCAGCTAAGCCTGGCACATTATAAGCAGCATGCAATGTGAGAGTTGAGGTGGGGTAAGTTTCTGCAGCTTTCTGTTAGCTTGAGAAACAGCTGACTCACATGTTGTAATTGTTTGTAACAGACTCACAGAGCATGTTAAGAAAGGTGGAGATAGACATGCTTCGTGCAGAGTGGTAAGCATCGCTTCAGAGTTTCCAGACAGTTAGCGTCCTCTGAATATTTTCTTCAGGAAATGCCGGTGCGTTGGAAACAAGCAGTCAGATAGACTGTCCGGTTCTGCTATTATTGTGAGGGCCTTTAAGGAACGAGTCAACAGTGCCGAGGCACAAATACATCATTACGTGTCGGAGGAGAATGGCCCATCATGAGTTACAAAGGGGATCTGGCCGGCGCTCAACCCTCAAGGAAAAGGCTAGACAGATGTATTATCAGACAGTTACTGGTGCCATCAGAATTTAAACTATTCACTTGCTGCTGAAGATGGGGACGGAACGCTTATAATATGTCCCGCGTGATGTGATGTTGATTCTTAATTCAGCATTCAAGGCCCTAATGAAATGTCCCCAGAGAAGTGATATCAGTACTACCTACCTATTCCCTAATTTATTAAAGAAATGACTTTATCTTCCATTTTGTGTCTGCTTTTTTTTTTCGACCACATAAGTTTGAAAATAGTTTAAAATTCATTCTAATATTTACTATTAGAGTGTTTATAAAAACTGTCATCCAAACTTAAAATTCTTAGTCCTAGAAACTTTTAAAACATTATGGAAAGCAAAAATGTATCAAAACTTACGTAATATTATACATAATATTTTAAACGCAGTTTGTTTGTTCATTGTATATAATGTTTCCACATCAGCTTATTTCTGATCATTGGGTACAATACAACTGAACCCAGCAATAGAGTCTATGTTTCAAATGTTCGTTATATACTAGACACTACATTGCGTTCCGATGTCGTTTGTAACTGCTGTTGTGTTTGTTATCTAACATATGATGTGTTAATATGTTTCTGTAACCTATGGTGCTATGTCAATGGGTTAAGACGAGTTCTATTCGAGTTATATCGTAGTTTGGGCTCCAGCTGTATGGTAAAACATAGCTAATGAAGACATCTTTCCGAGGGCTGTCTACTTGGTCATGCTTGTTAGTGCACTTGTTCTGTCGCGAGGCGTTGACAATATTTGGATGTGGCAGGTTCTATTTCCGGCATGGTAGCTATAGCTTGCAATTTTTATGTTATTTAGTGTATCCTTCTGTCTGGCTGCTTCTTTCTTTGGGTGCCTGTCAATACATGTCTTTTGTGTGTTATAGATGCTGCGTTTAAACTTTCGTTTGAGCTAATGTTAACATAAGAACTTCAGTAACAACAAATGAACGACTAATTTATCATATGTGTCAAGATGGAAAAAACATGAAAATCAATAGATTACCTGTATTATTAGTGAGTGAGCTGGTACTGTGAGAATTACTGCTGATGGAACTGTTATAATTATTGCTGATAGTACTGGCCTCTGCTGTGGTAGTTCTGTTATTGTAGTTACTGAGTACTGCACCTTGTGATGACCTTGTCATGTACTGAACCTGCCATAAGAGTTCTGTAAAATGACATTTTGCTTGAAACGGTTTCACTCTTCTCTAACCTTTTATTACAATGTCAGTTGTACACAAATATTGTTCATTTCAACGTGTTTTTTCTCAGAAACATTCATTTCTTCTTATTCTAAGTGCTCACTGATTGTAAACTGTGGTGGAAAGCCCTGGTTATTTGTCCACTTCTGGATTTTGGTCTTGTTAATCAACGTGAGTTTTGCGTGCACATTGTTTTAACAATCTGGCCTTTTTGTATGCAGATTGTCTGTTCCTAGCCTCTCGGTCAGATGCACGCCGACTTCGAAGGAAACACACCTAATTAGTCGACTTTAATGAGATGCTTGTTGGGGGAGGGGTGGATCTATGTCCCTCTCCTTCAAGAATGGGGCACAGGAACCCATACAGAGACAATTTATCCAGTAATACACTGTATACAAAACAGGCCCTCAGTCTTGGATGGCAGCTGGTCTAGGAGGGAAACTCACAGGCGGGAGAGATAGAACATTGCTTTTCTGATCGGGCAGCTTCAGTAGCGAGCTTTGTTCTAAACTTACTGCTGTTACCTTTTCTCTTGATTAAACAAGGCAGGTTAAGGGAATTCTAATGATGCATGAGCAGCAAACGGACTCTACAATACTGCCCAGGCTGTGTGCTATAGGGAGAACGAACTTTGAAGTAAATGATTGCAGAAAAAATGAAAGCTAAATGTCTGAGAAGAAACTCACTAAATACATATGACGGCAACAGTGGTCCTTAAATCCCGTGCTCTAATGGTGCAAGATTTCTCATAAAGATAGTGGGTTCGCTGGTCACACTCACGATCGCCAAGGGCGGTGACTCCCAAGCCACTTCTTAGCACAGTATATCATTTTTCTATGAAACGACTAAAATGTGCCAGTAACAACTGTATATAAAGGCAGAGTATCTGCAGGTAGCGTTGCAGCTAGACGTTCGACTGCCGGTCCGAAAAACATGGGTTCGAATCCGCATTGCTTTTGATGTGTTTTTCAAAATGGACCTTGGTTCCTAGGTAGATCCAACCTAAATTGTGTACCAGGTACTGTCCTGGGAAGTAAAGGTTGTCGGGCATGAAGTTGACCATTGAGTGCTGATTTGTCTATTCAAATTATGAGACAGGAATCATAATGGTCCTTTACTTTATACTTTACTTGTTTACAATATTAAGACAGACACAAAATATTCAATATTATTACACCCTATAAATGTGTCTATGATCAGTAAAGTTATCCTTTCGCTAGTGAATTACGGCATGTGAAACCAGAACTGCAGCAGTAGTCCAATGAAGCCAAACTAGAAAATGGTGTGAGCTGAAATTCTCAAATATTTTCGGCCCAAATTTATTTCCTACATTGGCCAGGCAGGAAGACTGGTTCCTTGTCAGTTATTTAATTCCATTACACTTCTAGCTAATGAAAGTACTGAACATCATCACTTACGACGGCAGAGCATTGATTACATTAAAAAAAAACGAACAACAGAATTTAGCTCACATTTATACTGAAACATCCTTTAATCTATAAAACATGAGTTGGGGTAGGTCAGAGGCTTCAAATTTTAACTCACTAGGCCACTTCAATAAATTCGGTCAATGAATCGTTCCACAAAGGTGGCTGTGTGGTCTCCATGCATAGTGTCCGCTTTAAGTGCTGGAAGTCCTAGGTTCAGCCCCTGAGAAGGCTGCGATTTTTAAAAGTAGACTTGTCTTCTAGTATTTCCCCCTGGTCTATAGGTAGTGAGATCGGAGACCCATGTGTATTGCCGTGTGCGTAAAATATCCCTTGCGAGTTGGAAAAAGAAAAAAAAAATAGTAGCCTACCAGCGCTGCCCGGGCAAAATTTTGAGTTAAAAATCTACCCAAAGTATTTAATGATCCTCGCCGGTGCTACGGAGTTCGTGCATTGCGCTAAAATTCTTATGACTTATGACTGAATTAAAATTAGAACGGAGTACTTATGGGCTTTATGCCATGATGTTGATCCGTTGTTTAAACCCAAACCTAAACGGGAGATTAGTCTAGTTCATGCCATGTTCTGTTTGCAGCATTCAGCAGCAGTATGTTAGCATGATTTTCGATTAGTTAGTCTGTCCTCTTGAGGGTAACACGGCGAATAGGGCTGAAGTCATAGCTATTTATGTCTTGTGATTCTTTGCCACCTGCTTTAGATCTTGAATGTGTTTTGGCCCATGGCTGAGCCTTTCCTGATAATGGTTCTATGCAGTCTCTTTTCGTCTCCCCCGTTTTCTTTTCCCTTCCGGTGTCCAAAACGAGGGCTTGATGGGGAAGTCTTGCCTTATCCATTATGAGTGTACAGTACAGCCCATGTAGTTCCAGCAGCGTTTTCTTATAAAATTGGATACACTGTCTTGCTGGGTCTATCGTCCTATGTGTGTATTGAATCTGAAATCTATCCAGTGGAGATTTAGCAATATTCTAAGACATCTTTTCCAAAAATTGTGTAACTTTTTTTTTTATAGAGCTAACGTTGCCTTCCAACTCTCCCATCCAGAAGTTAGCACTCGAATCACAAAAGTAGAAGATTTTAAGTTGTATGTGTTTGCTGACTGTCTTTGACTTCCAGTTTTTTGACAGTTTAGAAACGGTACCAGAAGCCAGTGCGATCAAACGACACAATCAGTTATATGATCGTCTGTATATATTTAGGACACCTAAATAACCCAAGTCTGGTAATTGTCTGAATTAAATATCAGTTGATCTTTATGTTATACTCAAAGATTGCTTTTAGAGCTACCTGCACATAGAAGTGTGGAATAGAGTTCATAAGACTCTCCAGCGGATTCCTCCATCTCCTGACGTTTTTCTTTCGCCATACACACACATCCTAGATTATTCTAATTTATTTATATTCTTTATAATTCATATTTGAAAAAAAAAAAAAAAAAAACCTGCTTAGACAATATTAAAAAATATGGAAAACAATCAGAAACCAAGTTACCTGTGTTTTATGCTTGCATAGATAGCTTCTCAAATCACCTAAAGGGCAGTAATCCATGATCAGACAAGGCGTGTCTATGTCTGTGACGCAGCCTATGATGCTGACTAAGTGAGGATGGTCACCCAGAAATTTCATTGCATTAATTTCTAGTAATAAAAACCGTTTCTCTTCCGGTGTAGCGTGTTCTAAAGTATTAGAAAGAAGAGTTTTGATTTGGTTCACACATTGGTTAACACAATTTTGATTCTTAATATATATTCACATATTTCCAATAGTGTCATATTTGTCATTTTTGTGGGTTGCAATTTTTTCGTTATTTGAAGTCTTACTCTGGCTCTTGTCACGGGCCGCAATAAAGCCCGGCCATAAATATGGTCTAATGGGTGACCGTGGTTTCTGGGACCTCTCCACGGATTATCCTCATCCACATGGTGGCACTTTGTGATGGGTGTTTATCGCTTATGTGATGTCTTGGTGGGTAAAAGAAGATAGATAGAGAATGCCCATTTGAGTCAAACCCTACGTCTCAATGTCGGACGTAAATTTATGCTGTCTCAAAGCCCAACCCTGGCTGTTGTCTGGGGCCCCAATGTAACCAAACCTATGTGTTGAACGAGGTTTCTGGAACCTGTCCCCGTGTGATCCTCCTCTGAATGGTGGCACCTTGTGTCAGCAGGTGTTTATCGCAGGGTGTGAGGTTCTGCTGGGGTTGAACGTCAATCAATCAATTTGCCATCTGCGCAGTTTCTTGAACTTGTGCGTGGTGATACTCATCCAAATGGTGACACTTTGTGTCACTGGGTGAGGTCGCTTGTTGTACAGTCCTGGTGAGGTTTAACATCCCAGGCTGGCCATTTGTTAGTCACAACCGTCTCAACATCCAACAAAATGTCTTGATAATTCAGCCCTTCCTTGTTAAAGTTTAAGTTCTTAGTAACCACTGGGAGCCTCAGTATAACCTTACGTTGAACGGGGTTTCACATCCGAGTAATGAGGCATTCTGCATCACAGGTTGTTAATCGCTCAGTATGTTGGCCTAACTGGATTCAATTTCACTCACTCATTGACCATTTATGATACTGAACACAATTATTTTTTTTAATATATATAATAAAGCCCCACCCAGCTTAACTTCAGGTTGCTTCATAACAGTAGTCTGGGGTCCTGCTATAACCGCACGGTTGAAAGAGCTTTGTAAGAATAGTGCCTGTTGATTCTTATCCGGATGCAAGCACTTTGTGTTCACCGCGTGTTAACCCTCCTTGTGCGGTCCTAGTGGCGTTAAACGCCACTTACTCACTTACTGACCATTTAAGTTAATATTATAATTGCACACAAAACATGATTAATTTATTCTCCCCCCCCCCCCTCGTCCACTTTCACAATCCCATTAGTAGGGTTTTCAGTTGCAAAAAAACTATTCAATTTATAAATGCTCTCATCGATTTGCCGCAATAATGCTGCTTCCAACTTTTCATCCTCCACATATAGTTTTGCAACATATGTCTGTTCTTCATAATTCTATGTACACTAATATGTTTGTATGTGTATGTCGAATCATTAGGTGACAGCAATAATTCAAACTTCATGGTAAACGGAGCACCCCATAATTGTTTCACCCCTGTGTAAGTGAAGACCACCAAAAAAAAAAAAAAAAATGATGTTTAATGTCCCGTAAAAGTGAAACCGAGTAGTCCCATAAAAAATCAAGTTCGCACAGTTAAAGCTAAAGGCATCCACCTGGGGTGTTAACTACAGCCTGCTATGTAAACTGTGGTGCTTCCTTAAGAAATGAGTCAGTCAGAATAAATGAGAAATTAAACACGCAATACTCCAATGAATTCATCTATCACTTACACATATGGGACCTAAATACTCGTGTGTAGTTCTTCATCAGTATCTTATATCAGCTTACCTTTCAACATTTTAACAGCTACTGTTTTCGATATTGAAGTTTGACCGTCTGCTTGAATTGGTAAGAGGAACTCGGCTTTCAAGACTTTTCCGAATGCACCTTCGCCAAGTACTTCTATAAACGTCAGAGAACTGTAGGCAACTTCATACTTGTCATTGGAAAGTAGGGGTTTTACTTCTTCTTTAGTGGGCACTACAGGCTTCTCATATATAGGGTTAATTACCTGCTAGAAAAACATAAGAGTGAATGGTTGTGTAATTATCTATCAACATTGTGTAATGTTAAAACTGTCACAAGTAAATACAAAACAGCTTTTTTTTTAAAAAAATACAGCTGACGCGTTGTGTGTGTAGTTCTAGATTCACATTTATATGCCAGTTGGCACGTATGGTTAATGTGGTCAACATCATAACGGCAACGTGCATTTCCCGTGACATTTGCTTATACTTTCTTAATTTAAAAATATGCTGGGAGCCATACATATATATAAATACACACATACACACACATACACACACATACATAAAGATATATATTTTAAAAAAGCAACAAGAAAAAAACCATGGGAAAAAATATCAACTAACAAACAAACAAAGTCTCTTTCGACATAATCTAAAAACACTCAGGTTGATAGAGAAAGGTTTTCAGCATCAGATATAATATTAAAAGAGCTGGAAAATGTGCAAAACCATCCTATTTGAGGAAATGGAGAAATGGGGAGGACACAAGCACTGAGAAAAAGCAGAGATACAAACTTGCAATTAACAAGCAGAAAAATTCTTACTACGTCGATTACCCCACGAAGAATTCATTTCAAAACAAAGTAATGGGACGGCTGAAAAGAGGCAGTTTATACACCATACCAAAAAAGTATGCCGAAAAACCACTGATATTCCTGAAATGAATAGTTCATTAAAAACTGTCACAGAGTAAACCACATGGACAGAAAAAACTGAAAATTACCACCACAGATTCGGACAAATGTCGAAAGAATTTCTGATAAAGAAAAACAGAATAGCATACAAATCTGAACAGCAGATCTCATGTACAATGTTTACCGATCAAAGAAATAATTAAAAAAGACAGTAATTTATACGAGAGACAAAATTGCAGACAGAACCTATTTCAGGCGAAAGAAAGAAAAAGAAAAGTACAGTGAAGCGTCTAGACACTCTATGTGTCACAGAATAATCACCAGGTAATTGTTTCATTTTATCCTATTACAGATTGTCATTATTCGTGCCATTAGGTCATGTGATCTCTGTTTCAAAAATCCATTACCATAACGCCACTAGCTGGCAAGCAGTTCTTTACTGCTGCAACAGTGTGGCTCTGATTTTAAATCTGAACACTTGTTTCTAGCTGTCCTTGTTGACTCATTGTTAGAACAGCTTTAGTACCCCAGGATTGGGTGCATAGCTACTTAATCCCACATCCAAAACCAGACAAAGATCATTCCAGACTTAGCGGTTTCTGGATTTTCACCCTATATAATACTTTTGGAAAGTTGCTAGAGACGACCATTGCTGTTAAACTATAAACGTTTTTTTTTTAAAGAAAAAAGTAGCGCTTCTGTCAGAATGTTTGTGAAGTTACCGGCCACGGAAAGATACCTGGTCAAATGCAGCTCGTTTTGCTTTTGATGTTTATGAGGGGTTCCAGAACAGACAGTATTTGTTTACGTGTGAGGGCACGACACTTGAAACCCTCTGTAACTTCGTTTTTTTTTTTTTAAAGTAAGGGTAGAAGGGTCGATTTTAATGATTCAGGTTTTTATTCCAGGCTCTCTCTACACAGTAGCTTGTTGCCGGCGAGAATATTACATAAAGCACCAACCAACCATGAATGGGACTGCATCAATGGTGAGGCGTGATCAATTCGCACGTGTGAGGGTTAACATGTCATGATTTACTGGACAGGATATTACGTGATACTTTCCTTATCACTTGGTTGCTGGGAATGTGCGTTACCTCCTAGCCTCGTAGTACTGGTAACCGGTAGCTTTTTACACTTAACAGTTTCTGCATGAGTTGCGTACGCATGCAGCGAGCGTTCTTTTTACTATGTTCAAGACGTTAAGAAAGCCCATATACGTAAAATCACCACCTGTGAGATGAGGTGCCTGAGAGAAGCAGCTAGCCTAACCATCCGAGATCGCGTTAATAATGAAACTATCAGGCAAATAGTGGAAACGACATCGTGTACTAGATTCATCGAGAAACAGCAGATCAAGTGGTTTGGCAATCTCGTTAGAATGCAGGAAGATCAAACACCGTCACAAACACTACATCTCAGAAGATCAGCTACAAGAGCAAGAGGACGGCCGCGAAAGACATGGATGGACAACACTAAAGACACTCTACGCCTTCACGGCATGGACAATAGCCAGTGGTAGCCAACGTGCACTGGATCGCAAATTATTCCTCCCTACGGCGCTTAACGGCAGAAGTGACTTATGTTGATGTTGATGATGATGATGAAGACGTAAAGAGAGTGGCCTACTTGTAATAATTAGTGAACTGAAATAACAAACAGTAAATTAAATTTTCTTTGGCAATAAAAAATTGTGTCGGTGTCTGTGGCATAGGCGATGCGAACACACTTGGTAATGCCGGGGTACCGAGTTCGATCCCAGCTGCGGGCCTTGCGCCTTGCGCTGGTTTCGACAGTGGTATCGTGACGCCGACCGTCCAATAAACAATGGCAAACTACTGGACGAAATTTCGCAAAAAAAAAAAAAAAAACCACAGCAGCCAAAAAATGCTGGGGTTGGTTCTGCAATGTCATGTAAGGTATACGCAACTAACTTTTTTTCTTTAATGAAAAGTTAGTCAGCTAGTTAGTTGGGATATTATCATTGCACTCTGAACATGTCCATAGGTGCTCAGATCTTTTTCTCAGTATGAACCCCAGAGTCCTGTGACTAATAGTGCCAGTTCTTTGTTGATTAAACAGTATTTTTGTATGCCCGGTGTGCCTCTCATTTTTGGCTATGCCCTTCTTAACTTCTCTTTCATTCTAGTGAGCGATGTGGAATCTCGAAAGTCTGTGTCTCTCATTTTTGGCTATTCTGCTCTTAACTTCTGAGTCTTTCACTCTAGTAAGCAATGTGGAATCACTGTCTCGAAAGTCCTCCACCCTTCCTAATTCTCTGAGGGCATTATTGATATCAGCACGATCCATGGATTGACTTTCAGCAGTGATAGCGGATCCAGCCAACTTGTCAGAACTTTCGTTTCCATCGATGCCTCGTGCCCAGGAATGAATATAAAGACAACGTTACGCACAGTGGATTTCTGTAATGGCTCAATTCACTGCCTTCGCACTGAACCTGCCTGGATCTTCTTGATTAATGAAAAATGTAACTGGCCAAACAGACCGTCGAATATGTAAATAGGCTGCATGTAGTCATGCGACCTATGCTGCACTCTCTCGTGGGACTAAGCTGGGTTTGGGTTAGGCCCCGTTCTAGATGTTTTGGGGTAATTAAAAGGATCAGAAAGCCGGGAAACCCGCATCTACCACCCTCGAAAATATGGGACTGTCCTGTGACGTCATTGTGTTGGGGGTATTGGAAAAGCACCATAACTTCTTCGGAGGTTGAACAGGGTATCTGAAATCCACATGGTCGCTCTTGTCGATTTTTTTTTAAATCTCAAGATGGTATGTAAACTTTAGGAAGCAGCCTAAAGGGGGCAAAATGATGGATAGATCTAGCCCTGACTCCAGCAACTACTGTGACACTGAAACACCTGCACCTATAAACAGAGAAGGTAAAACCAAAATCGAATCCTTAATTTCAAGAACACTAGACAAACGACTTAACCACTTCCCAACGGGGATGCTTAATAATATACATTTCATACAGTATAGCCACCTATCACACACACACACACACCGACATAAAACCTACCCATATTTGTGAATTTTTAAAGAGATAGACGGACAGACAGACGAACGGACGGACAGACAGACAGACAGACAGACAGACAGACAGACAGACAGACAGACAGACAGACAGACAGACAGACAGACAGACAGACAGACAGACAGACAGACAGACAGACAGACAGACAGACAGACAGACAGACAGACAGACAGACAGACAGACAGACAGACAGACAGACAGACAGAGGGGGAGAGAGATAGAGAGACATATGTCTAATACATCAACAAGGACGATATACCACCTCTCTTCTAAGAGCTGCCAAGTGACGGGAACTTTTCCTGAGCTTGAAGTAGACTACAGCACAGATAGAACTGACCACTGCTAGTGTGAGTGTAGGGATCACTGTGATATAGTAAATTTTGTTGGAGTGTTTCACAGAATCTGCAACTGCAAGAGAGAGAGAGGGGGGGGGGGGAACTCAAACAGACGTTTACAAAGAAGTTAATAGTAATTTCTCTGTCACTGATTGAACACAATTTTTTTTTTTTTTTTTTTAACATTTACTAGGTCACACATGTCGGGTGACCATCTCAATTTTCCACCGTCTTATGTTTTCAAGAACTATAATACTCGTCAAAAGTCAATGGTCACCCTATTATTTTAAATACAAATTTATATAAAGTATACAATGATTAAATCCATAAAGTTTTTAGCAAAACTGGATTATCTTCCCATGATAGTCAAACTTGGTGATTACCTGCAATTTAGTTTGCTTACCATAAATTCACACATTCAATCTGTCCACCCCTAAACTCACTACAACTAGACAGGTAAAGTAAGTGTGCTGACTGACATTCCATGTTCAATAGTGACTGTTCCCGATCAGAAATCACTCTTCATTTTTTTAACAATCAGCGAACCTAGGGTTGTTTAATCACTTGCAAAAAAACCATGTTATCGGGAAGAAGTCTTGGTGCGTTAAAATGAATAAGGGCTATGGCGTGGACTGCAAGCGGTTTATTCATCCGGGAAGTCCCTAGACGGCTTGCAATATCACACTCTACAATCCAAAAAATGTTTAAGAGATTTCAGGCCCAAGGAAGTGTGAACGATCGCCACCGGCCATGTGGCCCTTGATGCATCAGTAGACACGATGACCGATACCGCTTTTTGTCAGCCCGGCGCTATCGAACAGTGACTTTTTCCACTCTAAGATGTCAGCTGAGACAAACTATAAAGGTTAATCTCATTCAAAGCACCATTCGTCGACAAACTATAAACGTTAATCTCAATCAAAGCACCATTCGTAGGCGTTTACATAAATTTTGACTGGTTGCTTGACGCCCTGCAGTCAGAATCGCTCCTACTCTTCCTGCTCATAGCATAGCCTATGCTGCTTGGTGTCGCAAGCACATCTAATGGCAAGGCAAGAATGGAGTCAAGTCCTCTTCGCCGATGAATCTCGCTTTAGTGTGCCATTCAGTGATGGCAGGATTCGAATTTAGAGACAACTAGGAGAGCAATATACTGATGACAACCAGAGTTGGATCATTACTACAGAAGCTCTATAAGGGTCTGGGGGAGTTTCTACAGACAAAGCATGACCAAACTATCTTATCCAAAGCAACTTAAACGCCCCAAGATACCCGAACGATTATCTTGAGACCAACTTTTCTGTCTGCTCTGGGAGCCAAAGGTAGGAATACCAGCCTTCAAGGTGATAACAAGCTCGTGTTGTGAATGAATTTATTCCACAACATGGAAGCGTCAGAATTGCGTGGCCAGCTCATTCACCTGACCTTTCTCGAGCTGAGCACCTCTGCGTTTCCCTTGGTTGAATGTTGTCAACAAATATCTCCATGCCATTGCATATTGCACAGTTGACAGCATTTCTGCTTAAGGAATGGCAAGCTGTTTCTCAGGATACTCTTCGGAGCATTGTAGACCCGATGTAGATCTACGCTGCCTTGAATGCTTTGCTGCAAACAGTGATCATACCCGAATTTGAAATTCTAGTTGACCAATATCTATTGTGTGATTTTGAAAAAGTGGGTGGCACATTTTACAGCTTCTTTGACTGACTGACTGACTTTCTACCCCACCAGGACATCACACAAGCGATAAACACCCGATGACACAAAGTGCCACCATGTGGGTGAGGTTCACCGTGGAGAGGTCCCGGAAACCGCGTTCAGCCTTTGGGCCATATTTATGGCCAGGCTATATTGCGGCTCCTAGCAAAAGCCAGAGTAGGGCTTCAAATAACGAAAAATGTCATCCTGAAAAGGATGAAACAAAAATACACAGCTTCGTTACGTTATAATGTGTATTTAAATTTCTTTACTTTTTTATTATTGTGGTGTTCAATAAATGACGTTTTTACTGATAATACCCACTCTTATATTAGTTTAGTTTTATGGTCTCAACCAACATTCTTCTAACTGGCCGTTGACGTTTTGACGACTAGTGTCTGTGACAGTAACTTCGCAGCAGCTTGGTGAGCTCTATATGTGATGAACTGGTTGGGGAAAAAACACACAATATTATGCAACTATTACTGGCAGAACCTGGTTCCTTGTTCCGGGGACTTCAGTATTAAACTAATGAGAGTTGGGTATAGGTTATTGTGAGAACTTACTCGAATCTTGATATTCTTCAGACACGAGTTTCGAATATCCAACCCCTGTGAAATAAATTATTTATGTATTTAAGATATTATTCAACGGTTCTATATAATCGACATACATTTTTATAGTTATTTAGGATGCAGATTATTTTAGGAAACGGTCATGCTGTCAGCCACTCTCAGAGTATCTCATTCTTTCTCTCTCTTTTTTCAAAACTTATTTTCTGCAGATTCTCTTATATTATAATTCATTTCTTCTCTCTTTTACGCCTTTCACTCTATTCTTCTCCTTATTTTCTTCTCCATCTTTCTCTTATTTTTATTTTTACTCTCTTACTTTATCTTCAACATCCTCATCATCGTAATCGACATCATCGTCTTCATTTCTTCTTGTTGTTGTTCTTTCTTCTTCTTCTTCTTCTTCTTCTTCTTCTTCTTCTTCTTCTTCTTCTTCTTCTTCTTCTTCTTCTTCTTCTTCTTCTTCTTCTTCTTCTTCTTCTTCTTCTTCTTCTTCTTCTTCTTCTTCTTTCTTCTTTCTCTTCTTCTTCTTCTTCTTCTTCTTCTTCTTCTTCTTCTTCTTCTTCTTCTTCTTCTTCTTCTGCTTCTTCTTCTTCTTCTTCTTCTTCTTCTTCTTCTTCTTCTTCTTCTTCTTTCCATTCCTCATTTTCATTTCTTACTCGAAAGGAAGATACAACATATGCCACTAGGTCATGGCCATTGTCACATCAACAAGAAAATTAAAGAGGAGCATAATGATATGTAATAACTGAAGGGGCAACAACTGATAGATAAACGTGCCAGGATAGATGATGGAGTAGTGTACACTTATGGTTGTGTCCATGGGGATTAAAACTGGCTGGGGCTGCTGAACTAGACTGATCGACAGTGCTGTGGTAGAACAAAATGTTTCTTGTTTATATATACCTTTAGTTTATTAGCATATTTTCACTGAACATACCTGCTAAACGGTATTCATAAAAATGTACGGACAAACAGTTTACAAAAAGACAGTCAGTAGTCTTGAAGTTTAGTTGAACGTTACGAAAAAACAGTAATCTCTTTGTGAGATGAAATTTTTCGTTATTTGAAGCCCTACTCTGGCTCTTGCCATGGGCCGCAATATAGCCCGATCATAAATATGGTCTAATGGCTGAACCTGGTTTCTGGGACCTCTCCACGGGTGATCCTCATCCACATGGTGGCACTTTGTGTCATAGGGTGTTTATCGCTCGTGTGATGTCCTGATGGGGTAAAATAAAATAGATAGAAGTGCATAAATGTTAGAAAATATTCATTTACATCAGACTAGTCCACGTTACTGAGATGCTGCACTGAGAATAACAGTTTCATTTGTGTGTGTGTGTGTGTGTGTGTGTGTGGAGGGTTGAGGGGGGGGGGTAGTTTTCAATACAACACAGGAAAAGAAATTTCAGAAATAACCAATTTGTGCACGCTAAGAGTAAAGTAACAGACCACTTACATGGTCTCGTGACACAATTAAATAATACATGTTATAAGTAAAGTAGCTTTACCCAACCACCACCTTTCAACTCACAATGACTCCTGACACCTCAAATACTGTCGAAAATAATAAAAACATTTCTTGCTAACTTGATATCAAATTCTTCTTCTTTTGAACGGTAGAGCAGTCTTTCTTCACCGCTCACTCTTAGATACCTTTGGATCATAACACCATCAAAGATTACCTCTGGCAAACTGCAAAGTAGCAGTTCTTTTTCGATCACATATAAATACTATGTATCATAACACAGTCAAAGATTACCTGTAATAAACTGTAGAGTAGCTTTCGTTCCCTGACCTCCCTTAGACTCAGCTAGGATATTTACAACGTATTCAGAATCCCAGTCGACATCAACTGTCCACTCTGTCGTATCCTGCCAAGAAAAAACGAAATAACACTATTCAATGCCCAGAATAAATAAGGATTTGTGTTTATCTGAAAAACACAATTATAATATATTTCTCACTAATAGAAACACACCATTGTAACCATACTTACAATTTATTCTTTCAAAGAGAAGATAGAGCATTGACTTCATTGTGCAAATCTCAGGTTCGAATCCAGTGTGTCTACACTTTATATTTAAACTATTATATTTTTTTCTCTACATTTACTAGAAGGGAGTTGCCGCGCTGAGTGACTAGACACTCACTGGCGGATAAAAAGTTCGTGGGTTCGAGTCTTGACGGAGCAGACCTCCTGTTTTTTTTTTTTTAATGACACCGGCTCCCAAGTTGACCCAGGCTAATATGGGTACCAGCTACAGTCCTTGGAAGCAAGGGTAGCCGGCGTGATGCTGACCACATCACCCATCAAGTGCCGAATCGTCTATAAAATATAGGTCTTGTCCTATACGCCAAATACAACTGAAGGCGTGAAAATGTCCTTTACTTTACGTCTACTAGAGTTTATCAAAATTGTAATATTTGTGTAATGCTCATGAAGAATGACTTAAACCTGAAATAAAGAACTAAATTAAAAGCTCACCCCATCCACAGTAAAAATTCTTCTGTCTGGTCGGATGAGATGTGTGAATCTGATGTCAGGTGTTTTCCTCAAAGAAAGCACGTATTTACTGATTGTGTTGTGCCAGCTCACATGTCTGGGCGGTTTCCAAGTCAGGGTTACATTAGCGAACATGGACCCGTTCACTTCATATGGTCCACTGATGTTGGCTCGTAAATCCACAGGTGGATCTGGGGCTGTACAAAGACTGTTAATTTATGGCGTGCCTAATCATATAACAATGAATATCGTGAAAAGACCATTAAACAAATTAAATTTAAAAACAAACGAAACATTTACATATAATGACTGTACAGAAGTAGAAGAAGGAAACAGACTGTCTGAGTTGAGCTGAGTTAAAACATTGGGACATGTAGTTACCCCCATTCAGGGCATTCGTATAAGGGCTATGTGTCCCATAAACGTCCTAAGGACGCTAACTGCTGGGAACTTTGAAGAGACGTATGCTACTCTGCACTAAGAATATCTATCTTCAGTGGGTTTTTTTTTTTTTTTTTTTCATAGGGCGTGTATGATACAATCACCAGATGTAATCTTGGTAATCTTAGTTTCAGCTTCATAGCAAACGGGTCACCCCATAGTTGCTCCTCTACTGTGTCAAAGAAAAACACTGAGAATGTTCGTCACAGTCCCTTGTGGAAAGATTGACAGATTGCTGTCCCAGCATATGCACTAGCATACACATGCTTTAAAAGCATACGGTAGCCACCAGAAATGCTAACACAAAGAGTCTGACATTAGATATGCAGTTCATCATCGATGGTAGCAGAAGTTACCAACAGATCAGCAGTTACACACACCATAAATATTAATCACATAAGGGCACCACCAATATTGCGACGACAGGCCACGCGCCATTTTCTGAATCTACAGTTCATAACACTCCGTTGGTCACAGTTGAAAAACATTCCAAATGAAATCCGCAGCTCACAGGGTCGCGCCATGCACTCAACTCAGTAGCTGGGCGACGAAACTATATCCTGTCAGTCTACAGGTTAGTTGCGTATCCTTTACAGGACGTTGCAAATTTACGTCCAGTAGTTTGCAATTGCTTTCTAGACGGTCGGCTTTGTTGATACCACTGTCGAAACCAACGCAAGGCGCATGGCCCACAGCTGGGATCGAACTCAAAATCACGGTATTACGAAGCGTTCGCATCGACTTAGCCACAGAGCCGACAAATAAGGTTAGTTGCGTATCCTTTACAGTACGTTGCAGAAAAACCTCAGCAGCCCCTGGCTGTTGTGTGGTTTCTCTAGGGAAATTTACGTCCAGTAGCTTGCCATTGCTTCCTGGTCGGTCGGCCCCCTGATACCACTGTCGAAACCAACACAAGGCGTACGGCCCGCTGCTGGGATTGAACCCGGCACCCCGGCATTACGAAGCGTTCGCATCGATTTAGCCAGAGAGCGACAGTCTACATTTGGATCAAAAATGCAAAGGCCACCGTCTGGCAGAAGCAAACAGTTTGCCTCGACGCGAAACAGTGACCGTGCCTAGCGTCCAGTTTGACCGGAAATGTATGTGCATCTGGTTCTCTAAAGCACATGTAACATTTTGGCATCAACTCTGTAATCTCCGTTTCCCCCCTCAGATAGAGGAGAATAGCAAGCAAGAGCTTTGCAAATGAAGTGCTAATGGAGGCAGTGTTTCGATACCTTGACTGTACAAAACCTCTATTACACTATATACACAGCTACATATGTAAGTCTATTCATTCGCGGCTTTAACAACTTTAAGGTAACTCTTTGGGTTTTAAGAGATTGTATCGTCCAATTGACATAATAAACAAATTTTTACAAATAAATGGTTTCAAAGTTAACTGTTGTTGTAGCTTATGGAAGCGTGTTTCCTTTGAAAATGAGGAAAGACCGAGACGGTTTCCTGCTTGACGCGATGTGAGCGAAGTGACGAAATTGACCTGTAATTATTGTAATGCATCCTTCTTCTTCAGGGGTCGCCGTGGCCGAGCGGCTAGACGCTCTCCGCGGATCGGAAGGTCATGGGTGTGCTCCCTGGCGGAGCCGGACTATTTTAAAAAATTACCTTTGCTTCCAGGTAGACCCAGCTTTAAGTGGGTATCAGGTGCAGTCCCGGAAAGTAAATGCTGCCGGCCTGATGCTGAACACATCACCTATCTTGTGACGATTGGTCTATAAAAATATAGGTCTAGTTCTATATGCCCTATACGCCTAAAGGCGTGGAAGAGAGTCCTTTACTTTATCCTTCTCCTTTTTCTGAAAATCAGGTCTTCAATCTGCATAGGGCCATATCAGTTCTTCTGACTAACTCTAACGTTGTTTGCAAATCCTGGTTGGTTCTGTCTAGACTAGCATTCTTCAAACATTCCACTCTTGCGAGCCGGTTAAATTCGAAAAATATCTTGAGGACCGGCTGACGATTAGGATAATGTTATTATAATATGAAAAAATGTGACCCCTGCAAAGTGGAGACTGATAGTAAAATCTGATATCGTGGCTAGAACTCGTTTTAGAGGGACAAAGCATCTTTTTCCATCTAGGAAGTTGGGGGGGGGGGGGGGGGCTGACTAAACAGTTTGACAGATTTGTAACACAGAAATAGATACTCACTCGATCCACGGTATTTGTGCAGTGTCCGAAATATCTAGCAGACCACCAGGGACTCCCAGTGCACGTTAAGGAAGAGGTGGAGGAACATGGTTCTAGTCAGATTTTGGATTTGATATTTGTCTGATTTTCTATGGGAGCCAACGCTACACGCTCAACAGTGGATCTGAATGTTATGGGTTAAATCCGAACGCAATTTTACTTTTATTAAATGGCCTTGACTCCCAGGTCGACTAAGCCTTACCTGAGTACTAGGTAAAGTCCTAGGAAGTAAAGGCGACGGAAATGGTGTTGACCACACCACCCACCGAGTGCCGACTGGTCTAAAATTATAGATCTCGCATAATATGTCCAATACGCATGAAGTGTCCTTTATCGACATTGTCTATAACTTTCTGATAATCAGTCTTTTCTTAAGTTCCATATCCACCTTATATTTACATCTTCCCGACTAACAGTATGCCAGCACGCCAACCTCTCTTTCTTTCGCTCTACCAACCAGTTGGTTCATCAGTCAGTCTTCATATACATCGTCTGATATCAGTCTTCTGGTCCACGTGACAGTCTATACTTTATATTTTTTTGTGTGTGATTCTCAGTGTGCTTGCCAGTTAAAGTTAACAACTGAAGTCCAGAGAATCGACTTCATTGCATGAGTTTTTCCCATATGGATCAGTCTCTCTCCGCAGAACAGTTAGCCACCTTCCAAGAGAGTTGCACAAAGCACGAACTCCGTAACGCATGAGATTATCCATAGAGATTTTCGACAAAAATATGTATAGGTGAATTGAAGTCGCGCAGGTCAAACGAGCCCAGGATCTTTAGAGCGCGAAATAAACTACTTGACCTCTTCGACGGGGAGTTATCTATCTACATATCTGTAGATCTGGATACACGGAAGCTAAACGAAACGGAAAGACAATTTTCTATTTACCACAGGACAAATAATTATAATTGGTTGACTGGAGACAGCTTGGGGTGCTAAACTCCACAGTGACTTTCTCACTAGAGATCTGGAAGGTCCTATCATAGGTCTGAATTTCAAGTTTGTAGTCACTGTCGAAATCCAAGTTGCTGAGTTCATAGCTGAAACCTGTCTCCTGTGAGGGAACAGAAAAAGAATTATTTCAATAAATCAGCATCATTATAAAACATCTGTCTAACGCAGTCGCTCTCAACCTTCCTAATGCCGCGATCCTTTTATACAGTTCCTCATGTTGTGCCGACCCCCAACCATACAATAATTTTTGTTGCTGCTTCGTAACTTCAATGAATATGCGTTTTCCGATGGTCTTAGACGATCCCTGTGAAAGAGTCGTTCGAAACAAAAAAGGGTCGCGACCTACAGGTTGAGAACCGCTGATGTAGCGGAACCTTGCTCTCATTAAGGCCTTGCAAAAAAGTCAATAATTTTTTCGGCTTATATAATTTCACGGGAGAGCAGACTGAGTAGCGACTGAACCATCGCTTTCCGACTCAAGAGTCTCAGAAAGGGTCGTGCCGTGCTATGATATATAGCCGCGGCCGCATTAGGCGGTACAGTAAAGAGGGCGGCATAATAAGCAGCTACTTTAATTAAAGGGAAAAACATTTAAAGGGACGCATTTCAAAGACTTTCATTGTATTGAGAAAATCTATCGCACGGGCTTGGTCTCAGATTCAAATTCACATTAAGTCCCATTTATTTATTTTTTTTAATGACCATGGCTCCAAGGTTTACCCATTCTAAAATTTGTACCAGGTAAAGTTCTGAAAAGTAAATACGAACGGACTGGATGTGCCAATTCTAATGATAACTGTACTTAACTTACTATATGTCACATACTATGTTATTAGGCCAAGATTAAAAACAGCAGATACATGCCCACAGCCTGCTACCTGTGCCATACTTTGACATCATCAAAATTGACATATGCGTAAACTTAACCCCTGTGAAATGAGATGACTGAGAAACGTGTCATGTTAACCATCTGAGAAAAAAATAAACAGTAATTTTTTTTTTTTTTCAGACTGCAAATGCAAATTGACTGATGAAATTAGAGAGCTTTCGCGTGGACAAATAGTTACTATATCCATTGCTGCCCACCAAGAAATGTAGGACAAACTGTTCCTTTTCTCGTCGCTAAACGAGAGAAGTGGAACTTGATGATGATGATGATGATGATGATTATTCATGCCCTGGATGAATGTCCCCTGGCCTGCGACCAGCGCTATGTGGCTGATCTCCTTGATTCCCGAATCCATGCCTTCATTTGATTTCAAAGAACTTAGTGTTTTCCAGAGAACTTCAGAGAACCTCCTGACTCACTATTACAAGGCAGATGTTCTCAACAAGTTTTCTCCTGTTTCTTGGTCTCACAACTCATGCTTTAAATGATGCTTATCATGTGCAATTCACTTAGTGAATCAAGTGGGTTTTTTTTAAAGTCTAAGGTTATATAACTTCGACACTTGATATTTTAGAGTGTGTTAATGTGGGAAAACAAGCTTTAGCCTTAATGAGGGAAAACAATTGAGTTATTGCACAGAAGAAATTAAATTAGCGAATGGACTCTTGATTTGTTTAACTAAAAAAAAAAAAAAAACATTGGAGGAAAGACTAATGAAATGTATACAGGTATACATCGATCAAAGCAGAGATAGACCTGGCAGAGATTATCGACTGCCTTAATCAAAGCATTAGGACATCATCAGTACCGCAGGACGGGTTGACAGCTATCTAATCCCACTGCCAAAACCTTTTAGGGAGCATTGAAAGCTCAGTGGCTTTAGAATCACCACCTTACAAAACACAATTGGAAAGGTCTTAGAGACGATAGTTTCTGTAAAGTTGCAAGAATTTTTGGAAAGGGGGAAGCTTCTCCCACGAGGTCTGAAAAGCTACAGGCCAGGAAAGGACATATGGTCAAATACGGCCACCTTTGCTTTTGACGTCTATAAAGGGTTTCAGAAAAGACAGGAAACTATGATGATGACTGCGCTGAAGGAGAAGGAAGTCAGTCCATGGCTGGTGAATTGAGTTGCATCTGTCCTGTATTCACGTCGGGTTGCTCCTCGACTGACTGGGCTCATGGACCTCAGAACCATGCAGGTCTGCAACAGGGATCCGCCATCTCGCCTGTGCTCTTTAACATGTATGCGAGCAAGATTGCAAGCCTAGAAGCACCAGGAGTTGGAAGGATACTGACTTTTGCAGATGATATACTCGCAAATAGGCAGGGGGAAGAGAGGGAACAAACAGTCTGGGAGATACAAGCGACAGTAGACAAAGTGACTGAGTGGTGCACAAAAATGAGGGCTGTCGTCCATCCCGAAAAGGTGTCTGTTTTGTTGTGTTCTCTAGACACAGGATCGTTAGAGCTAATGTTCTAAGTCTCACGATAGATGGTAGAAACGTGAACAGAGAGAGAGAGAGAGAGAGCAAACTGAAGTATCTGGGAATCACATTTGACAGGAGCCTGCCATTTAAGGACTAAATGGAGAACGTTGTGTCAAAATGCCAAAAAGGACTCAGTGCACTTAAGACTATGGCTGCAATTGACATAGAGCATAGAATGCTTTTCACACTATATCATCACCTGATCCTGTCAGTGGTTGATAATGGCCTGGGACTGCTTACCGTCTCAAAGAGTCAGATGGACAAACTAGAAAGAATTCAAAATTCAGCTATGCGGATCATTCTGGGTTGCACCAGACACCCAAGTAGTGTGTAAGCGATACATCCTTGGTTTGCCGACTGTTGCAGGTAGACCCAAGGTGCTGCAGGCAAAGTCATATATCAAGGTAGCTGCAGACACAGATCACCCTTTGCATGAAGCTCTGGGCGCAGTTAATGGTGAGCGGCTGATAAGAGGGAAGTCATGGATGGCTCTGGCAGCAAACACAATCAGACAGGTTTGCATTCTTGAGAACATAAGGCGAGGAGAGGAGTGGTTCAAACTGAACAATCAGACTTGTGTAGGGTCACAATTACATTAAACCGGGAATGCGAAAACTGGCCAGCGGGTGTCATGGAGGTGGAAATTCAGCAATTAATTCTGGATAATGCTCTCTCAGAGGATTTATTTACACAGACGGGTCAGTGTCAAGTGCAGGAGAGCCTAGCATATGGTTCAACAACATCCAGCTTAAGAATAGAGGGGGAAGCGGTCACTGCAGCTTTCCGATGATTAGAGATCACGACACACACACACACACACACACACACACACACATCGTGATTGTAATTGACTCAGAAAGCATGCTGAGGAAGGTCAGGATGACACAGATGTGGAGTATTGTCTTATTTTCTTCTCTGGGAAATGCCGATGTATTGGAAAATGAGCAGGTGGACAGACTTGCTGGATCTGCACAACTTGGTGAAATACTGATGCATGATAAGGCAGACGTGCTTAGTGCCTTGTTGGAGAGCGTGTACAGTTCGGAGGAGCAGATGGATCATTATAATCTGGTGAGACTGACGCAGTGGGGTGTGACGAGGGGTTCTGGCAGATGCTTGAGGCTCAGAGGAAGGGCAAGACGGACGTTTAATCAGAATGCTTCTGGCACCATTATTATCGGAACTCTGCGCTGGCTGTTGAAGATGGAAGCCGGGCGCTTATGGAATGTCCTGAGTTCCGTTATGTTGGTTCTTGAATCAAATCAAATCAAATAATGAAATGTACACAGTAAGGAATTCGTGTATGCTAAATTGTATGATCCTAAAAAAAAAAGGTAATCGTTCTCATCATCCCTTAATCAAGTAACAGAAAGTGTATTGATCGGCACTCATAGAAAGAAGTAGAAAGCTAGAAGAACACACTAGCTAACATAAAAATCGAAAGCTATAGCTAACGCACCGGGAATTGAACCTGTCAACTCCAGACGGCGTGTGCGCCTCACCATGGAAATAAGTGCACTAAGAACATGGTCAGCTAGGCACCCCCCAAAAAAGGTGTCCTATTGGCCATGTCTATAGCATCTAAATCATTATCATGATGTCGTGCCATTTGTTTGTCACATAGGGCTTGCAGTCTGCCCTTTATTCCGTGTTGTCTAATTTTATCTGTCGCATTCTATTACAATGGTATCCAGTCTATCACTTCTAGCCTCTCATATTACCGTTCCTTTTAGGGTTCCTCTTGGAAATCTTCGTTTCTTCAAGACATTTTTTTCTTTTTTAGTTCCTGTTTGATGTTTTTATGCTCGTCAATATATTATCATCTTCTTTGTCTTTTAAATGTTGATGCGTGTGAATGTCCAGATATTTGTCTTTCTCTACCTTTCTTATTTTCATACATTACCTAAAAAAAATTCATTTATCTTCAAATCCTAATGTTTTGTGATTCTCTAACTTTCAACAACACACGTTTAAAGGGAAATAATGTCAGACCAAAAAAAAAAAAAAAATTATTATTTGGTTAAAAAAAAATAGAGACTAGAGTTTCATATTTTATTTGGACTTTCAAGAGCTGCTGTTGCCTTGCCATTATTTAAGCTATTTTCTTTCTATGTGTTACCTTCGCAAATCAAAATTACCATCTGAAAAGGTACATTGATTTTTCCTAATCAAGTTATGAAAAGTCAAAGCAAAGTAAAGAACACTTTATTTTCGTCCTTCATGCATATTATGTACGTAGAGCTAGATCTCTATTTTAAAGATCAATCGGCCCTTAGTCACTCAATGATATTTACTTCCCAGGACTTCACCTGGCACCATTCTAAGGCTGGGTAGACCTGGGAGTCAAGGTCATGCCTAAAAATGTTGCGGCTTTGTCAGGAAACCGATCACACGACTTTGCGTCAGGTCGGTTCACCACGGCTGGTCCCCTATTAAACGTTAGTAAGCAAGTTAGTAGACATTTTTCATTTACACAAAATTAACGTGACATATTCAATTAGAAAGTATCGCTTGTCAATAACTTCATTGTTTACATAAAAGGAAACAATTAACACTGCGAAAATGTTTATTAATACTGATAAAAGAAAAAGGCACATACTCTGAGCTCTCTAGAATAGAAAGAACCTCTTTTTGACGTCATCCAATACAGCTTGAAGTAACATCCGGCATCTGTTGATTGGAACACCATTTAGTTGCAGCATACCAAAGTTCTAAGTAGAAGTCAGTACATTCAGAGTTACCTTCATTATTTTGGTATTAATGCATGCGATAAAATTGTGAGGTTACTCAACAGGAAATTCTGAAAAGGAATAGCTCGATATGGAGAAATGAACACCTCGCTGAAGTTTCCAAAAACTTATATAGTGATTGTAGACGCGTAGTCAAAATAAATCTAGGAACATCTAAACCATTCAAAGTAACATCTGGAGTAATACAGAAAAGTGTCTTATCACCACCCCTGTTTATCACCTATATGAACAGGAACGAAAATAATAGCAACATCAACGAATTACTCATTGCTGATGACCAGGCCTTGATTGCAGATACAGCCATGAATTTGCTATAAGATCTCACATCCATGAATGAAGAATGTAAATCAAATAATATGAGAATTAACACCGAAAAGACAGATCTAATGTCAATAGCGAGAAAGAAGCAGGATTTATACATAGCATTAGAGCATGCATATATTAAACATGCATCTGAGTTTAAATATCTTGGAAAAACATTTACTGAAGATGGTAAATTTGACGAAGAAATTGACATCCTATGCAGTAAAGCAGGTCAGTTATTGGGACAGCTAAACCTACTGCCTCTTCTCCTTCCCCTCCCCCTCTTACAGCATTAGGCAATCCCAATTAGTAAAGGAAACATTGCATACAAAGCATATGCACTCCCACCCTAAGCTACCAGTGCCAGACGTAGTCACTCACAACAAAACATAAAAGAAAATAGTACCCATGGAAATTAGGTGTCAGAGAAAGTCTGGATTGATCAAAAGAGATAAATTTATATGAGATAAAGTCGGCACAGAACCTGTTCTAAATTACATACATAGACAGCAAATGTAGCTAATTTAATACAGGTCAGTGCTTTGCAGATGGTATAAAATTAGGTTAATGATATAACAAAGTTAGGAACTTACTGTCTGGGATACTCCACTTCACCTCTGCCCGTAATGTATACCCTCGAATGTATTGTTTGACCACACTTACATTCTGTGGTGGAGGAAGCACGGCTGAAACGTAATGAAAACATGCTAATCAACTTCATACACAGTGACATTTCGCCTTTCTGCCATTAGAACTTGCGTCACAATATGCAAGAAAGTCAAGTAAAAGACTATATTTTATGTCTGTACTAGAATTGTGGACGTAATCCAGCGTACCGCGATCGAAACCCACTGCAGGCTGCGTGGATGTTTTTCATGGTATGGGGCGTCGTAGGTCGACCCAGCCTAAAATGGGTACCAGGATGGGCTGTCCTGGGAAAGTAAAGACAGCCGGCGTAATGCTGACCACATTACCCACTGAGTGCTGATAGTCTGTAAAAATGTGGGGCGCTCTTCCCATATGCCAGATACGCCTAAAGGCGTGGAAAGGGATCTTTACTTTTTAACCTACTAGAGTTGTCTTTGCAACAAGAATGAAACAATGCAGTTAGTTGGAGCTACTTAAACCGCATGCAAATCAACGTAAGTATTACAAAATCTATGTTAGTAACAACAAGACAAAAACTGTAGACTTTAAATTCACATAGAACTCATCAACTCTACTAAAAAAAAACTTCAGTGGAGTGTACATAAACACAAAGCTTTAAGCAGAAATTAAAAACTTTCTGGATGAAAACACTGGGAAATTAGTCTATGCTTCTCATATTCAAGCCAACGTAGACTGTTGCTCCACAATATGGGATGGGTGTGCAAATTCAGTTATCAAATGACTGAAAGCACTCCAAAGGGGGGATGTGCGTTTAATAGCTAATAGATACTGTAATGACTGATTGCACCTACATAAATAACATGCTATTACAGCTCCAGGAACGCCTGATATTCAATAAAGCTAAACGTGTCCACAAACTCATATCTAAAAATTATCCGTGTCACCTTCTTCATTATTTAAATACAATGGGAGGCACAGCAAACTCCTTAACATATTATATGTATCTAAACCTAGAATAGACCTATAGAAAACAAGCTTAGCGTACTCCGTAGCTTAGAGGTGAAATCATCCATACGTACAATCGGAAACCATTCCAATGTGATTTCACTACAGACTATAGGCCCTCCTAAATGATTTTAGTATGTTTAGCCCATGCTGTATTTATATCGGATATATATGTGCGTATGTTTTTCTGTTCTTCACTGAAAGTTATTATCGTTTAAAAAAATAAAGACGCTAGTAGAACGGATTCCAGCGTTCGTTACTAAAATTTAAATAATGTTGATGATGTTTATAATGTGCAGCCTATTTGACTTACATAATTTTTAATTATAATTTTTAAAACGTTTAGTAATTAGAGTATTATTAGAGAATATTCCAGCCTTTGTAATTCAGAAACAAACAATATACTGCAAAATTATTGCCTGGTATAGTTCACTGTACCTCGTCAGGTGAACTTAATATAACAATGCAGAGTCAAATCGTTGGTTACCTTACAGGCCGAAATATGAATTCATCGGAGATTCGTCAGTTTTTGATGAATTTATTTTCTTATATAGAATTCTGAGTCATTCGTTTGAGGTTTCCTACCATTGGGCAGATTTTTTCGGCCCTCAGCGATTTAAAGTAACCTTACTACTCGTCATCCCCATGCGGCATGCAATCTTTATTTTTATTTTTTGAAGCCTTACTCTGGCTTTTTCCGGGGCCCTTAGGAATAAACTCACAGGGAGCAAGTACAGCAGGGCTCTACCAGTCATCAGTAGAAATTATCCTCGTCGACACGCGTTTCGGCCCACGATTCCTAGACGCATTCGGAGGTGGGCCCTCCTGAGTTCATGAAGCTCAGGGCTGGTTCCCTGCTGCACGGAATTACCGGATGGTGTTTTAATTTCGGCCAGAGAAAAGACGACTTGGTGGTTTGCAGAAGGTACTGTGAGATAAGAAGTCGCCGCGGCAGCCTAATTAAAGCAGTCAGCATGCCTGGACGACCGAGCGACAAGCTTACGTTTGGTTTACCGGACACATGTTGGACTTTTGTTAGCAGGTGGCAGAGGAACACTGGCAGACAATTCGGACACGATGGACTTTCAAGGGGTGAGAAACCCTTTTCCACTAGACACCCGGACCAGCTCACCGAGGCCCGTCCCTTACGTTGTTGCGTTGCGTCCAAATCCAGCTAGAGGCCCTTTCGGCTACTTCTCCCAGTTTTTTGAGTGTTCTTTTCCGTTCATTACCGCGCAATCCTAGCCGGGGCCTTAAATATGGCCTAACGGCTAAACGGGGTTTTCAGGGCTTCTCCACGGGGAATCTTCATCCGCATGGTGACACAAAGTGTCACCAGATGTTTGTCGCTTGGGTGATATCCAGGTGACTCTGTTGTGTTGTGCTGTAAGAAGGCATGGAACTCAGCACATGACGATGGCGAATGTGACTAGCAAGACCAGCTTGTGCTGAAGTGTCTATAAGATGTAGATTGTAAGCAGATTACCAAGATAAATCAAGTTTAGTTTTTGTTTTTCTCTTTTTATTCGCCCTCTATTTTTGAAATTTCGTCATGAAATGAGAGCGAGTTTATTTGCCATCACTGTGGCGTAAAGGTTCAAAGCTGTAAATACAACGATCAAAACAGAAGAACAACTTTTAGTTGAAAACAGGATATTGTATGACGCAAAACATATTTGTGATAGTGCATTTTTAAAGTGAGAAATGAACGTCTCGCTAGAAATTTCCGAAATACTACAGAAAGGAGACATTTTATCGTTAACCAGATTAACACCGACTGCTTGTTTTTGTCGGGAGAAAATAAGGACATTTAGAAGAAAAAAAAAGCGAATCACATACGTTACGCGTAATGTGTAAAGCATGCTGACTCCAGGTAAGCCGTTTAAAAAAAAAAATTACTTGAGCCCACATACAGGAACTGGATGTGTTTTAACATTACACATTACATAAATGTCTGTTTTTACCGCTTTTGAGGCGTATAGAGATGGCCTATGAGCTGGAGGATAAAGAGCCCATGGCTAGTGCTGTCGCAAAGGTCTTTGTAGATAATGATTTTGTTTTTGGCTCCGAACAAAAACACACAAAGAGACCCGTGAACTTACAAAGGATTCGAAATTGGGTCTTCTGCATAAATTAGCTGGGTATCAGGACGTTGCAGAACCAACCCCAGCAGTTTTGGCTGTTGTGGTTTTTGCATTGAAATTTGCGTCCAGTAATTTGCCAGAGGAGATAAAAAAAAAAAAAACAGTTTATTATAAAAACCTTTAATAGAATTGAACAAATTCAGATGCAAGGAAGAGACAGAGACATGTTTAAAGAAATTAAAACACTGAAAAGCGAATGCATGCCTTCTATCCATGTAATATGTGATAAAAACAGTAACACATCAACGGAAACCAAAGACATATTAGAAAGATGCAAAGAATACTGTAGAGAAATGTATGAGGATCTGACAAGTAATTCAAAAACAACTTATGAAAGTTATGAGAAAGAACAAGAGCCTTTACTGGATGAGCTACCATCAGCAATACACAGCCTAAAGAAAAGAAAGTCACCAGGTTGCGACAAAGTACCAGCAAACTAATTCAAACAGGAGGATCCGCCAGCGTCCGAATCTACCATCTACTGTGCATGAAGATCTAGAACAGTACCATTTAGCTAAGGCGTGGAAAAGAACCATCTATATCACTCTCCCAAAGAAAGGAAATCTGAACCTATGCCCAACTACCGAACCATCGCATTAATAAGTCATGATAGCAAATCCTCTTACGAATTATCATGAAGAGGATTGAAAGGAAATTACAATATGAGCTAGATGAAGCACAAGCGGGTTTCAGACAGGGTAGAGGAACTAGGGATCACATATTTAATATAAGGAGAATTTTTGAAAAATGCATGGGATACAATGTAGATCTTCATGTTTGTTTTATTGATTATAGCAAGGCATTTGATTGTGTCCAACATCAGAAACTGTGGACTATTGTGAGAAGTATGGGGATTTTTGCGCATTTAGTGCATTTAATTGAAAATCGTTATCAGGAACAACAAGCAGCCATCAGAGAAGCTAGTGAAACATCGGATTGGTTCGAGGTTCAAAAGGGAGTGAGGCAGATGTGCATTCTTTCACCATACCATAGCTATTCAATATATACGCAGAAAATATTATGAGAAATGTCAAAAATGACCAGACTTGTGACAGTTATGATCTGCTCAAAATTGGTGGCAACCATATCTCGGAACTCCGCTACGTAGATGACACAGCCCTCCTTTCGAACAGCGTAAAGGGAATAGAAAATTTAATATTGTCTGTCCAAAAGCACAGTAAAGATCAAAATCTGTTCCTGAATTTAAAGAAAACTAAAATAACGTCAGCAGTTAAAACCTGTCACCCCCCCCCCTTCCCTCCCTCCCCCCACACAAAACAATAGATGATAAAAAAAATTAAAAACCTCACAAACATTGAATATCTAGGCTCTATAATAAATATCAATGGAGACTGTTTGGCATAAATTAAAAGGAGGATGGCCATAGCAATGCAAAGATTAAACAGCCTTAAAAGTCTTTGGTTAAGCACCAGCAAGGAGATCAAATTAAGAATTTTGAGAGCATGCATCACACCTGTGGCAACAAACGGATGTGAGTAGTAGACTATCTCAAGGTCCTTAAGAACGAGATTAGGGGTTTTTAGGCTGAAATGCTATAGAAATATTCTCAGAATATCTTGGACAAAGAAGAGGAGAAATAATGACATCTTGAAAGATCTGAACAGCAAGGAAGATTGACGAATAAACAGCATCCTGTCTCAGAAGCTGAAATATTTTGGCCATATCAAACGCTACAACGGATTGGAAAGAATTGTAGCCGCAAGCATGGTACCAGGAAGGAGGGGCAGGGGCCGACCGACACGAAGATGGGCACAGGATGTAAGTGACTCCTTGAGTATGAAAGCACATGAGGCGGGAGAGCTGGCAAGAGACCGAGATTTTTTTTTTCTGGCTGACCATGATGAGAGCAACATTCTGCAAAATAAATGCCAAAATACGTCTCTTGTGCCGGACGTCCTCTTCATGAT